TTATTATCTTGTAAACAATTGGCAAATCAAATAAATAAATAAATAAATAAATACATATATAAATAAATAAAAAGTTGAGCTTTTATATTACTACTTATTCTACTGCACCAAAAGGAGTAAGACATCAGTGCTTTTCTTTTTTCTCATCCATGCTGCAACGAGAGTTAGGAATAGGATATGACTCCTCCCTCTGACATCATAGAGCTGAGTCTGCCACTATAAAAAGCCAGCCCTTAACTGGCTCATCATCTTTGACTCAGTTTCTTGCCTTGGAGTCTTGTCTCTGGAAGGAGTATTAATGAGGTAAAAAGATATTTTAGCAAAAGAGATTTCTATTCCAAGGTTTTTTAGCCTTCTTACTGCTCCTGGGACTCTGATTCGAGCTATAACACCAGGAGAACAAGAATCAGCTCTCCTGCAGCGCCAAGGCTTCGGCGCTGCCTCACTGTGGGACTGGGGGCTCAGGGAGCATTCTGCTGAGCCTCCCACACAATCCCAAAGATTGTGGAAACTTGTCGTTCTGCTGCTAATTTAGCCGTTTCACAGCTGACTCTGGAGCTCAATTCTGCCGCTTCACAGTTGTTCCTGGCTATTGCTGATCACTCCTGGTAAGCACCTAAGAAGCGAAGGAGATAGTGAGGCCATCCCAGGGCTGCCACACATGGTGAACGGCCATTTTGAAAATCGGGTGGCCATTTTGTCTCTCAAAAGAGGACATTAATTGAGGCTACCGGTTTAAGCTTCTTCGGTGACAGACCGAAATCTTTAGATCTGTGCTCACTGCTGGAGCGCCCCGAGCTGGCTGGTTTCTGGGCTAAGCCACCCTGTAGAATTGGTGAAGAGGGGGGAGACTGCCAGCAGGGTCCAGGAGAGCCGCATCTCTTCTCCCCAGCTGGTCATTACTCCCTTTCCCGAAGGCAGTTGCAGCGGTGGTCAGAAATGGCCACCTCAAAGAAGAACTTGACCAGAAAATAATGTGCAGGAGGAAGATAAGAAGAGAAAGTTTTGGCTGACCGGATCGAACTGGAAAAGCAACAATATAAGTTACCCTGGAATTTGAATTATAAAGAACAACATTGTTCCCAAAGAAGACTTTGAAGCTGCGAATAAGAGAGGGAAGGGAAAGGATTTGGTTTTTTTTCTTTTCTTCCCCATATTGACAATTGAGAGATTTAAGCAAGAAACCGGCAAAAATCCACTTTGACATTAACAGGTATTTAAGCTGAAAATAAAATGTCAAAAGGATGATAAAGATTTCTGGATTTTCAAAAACTTTTAAAAGAAGGAAAAAAACAAAAGGGTAGGATCTGGAAAAATAGAGGAGACCACCTGGAAGTGAAAGGAATTAACAGTGAAACTTTAACAAGATTCCTAAAAGATACATTTTAACTGAAACATTGTAACAAGATAAGACAACCCCAGGAAGAGAAAGTGGAAAAAGAAGCAAGAAGAAACAGTTTTGGATTATTTGGATTACTTAGTGGTTTTTGGATTTTTGGCTATTGGATCTAAAGGACTAAAATTAATCGGATGGTTGTTTAAAAGTTTTTAAAATGGTATCATTCTTGGAAGAATTGAGAATGGAACTTAAAAAACAGAAAGAAGATGCACAAGAAGGAAGAGGTTCTTTCGGCTTCCTATTTCAATTTTTAGAAATGGAGATCCTGAACAATGAGAAACAACAAGAAATGCCTGTAGAACAAGAAGGGCAGGACAAAGAAGAAGCCATTTTCAATGACCAAGTATTTCTATGTAAGGAAAAGAAAGGGTAGGGGGGAAAGAGAGTGAAAAATTTAACATCTGAAAAAACAACCCCCAAAAAGAATAGTTTGAAAAGTAATTACAACATTAGGAAGAAACAGAAGAGAGGACTACAGAAGAGAGAATCAGAATTAGAGAGAGAAGTGGTCAAAAAGGGAAGGGAGAAGAAGAGGGAAATTATAAAGGACAGAATCAGGACAAAGAGAAACAGGGAAAACGTACAAGACACAGAGATAATGGGTGAAAACTTAATTGAAAGGGGGATTCTGCAAGGGTACATAAGATAGTATTGTTATATGAGAAATAGAAATGAACTTTGAAAATATGAAACAAATGTGATTAAAATGATAGATAAAATACTCATTGTAATATAATGGAATGTTTAATAAATAAATGAAATAAAGAGAATGAGAGAATGAAATGAGGAAAGGAGGGGAACATTTTAATTATTATAAATGTGTTATAAAAATTAAGTGAAGAGGAATATGAAAGAAACATGAAAAAATATGGAAATACTATAAGTGTTCCTAGAAGTATGATATCCTATTGAAAATAAATGTTAAAGATGTCAAAGATTATAACTAACGTTAATGATAGAGCTGAATTGGAATAGAATAAGTATTTTATTTATTATTGTTATATATACATTTTCTCTTTAAGAACTTAGTGCGTATTTTAAGAACGTACCAAGCAGAATTCGACTGGAAGTTATGTGTTATATTGAATGTTATAATTGTAAAGGCATAAATTGAAGTTTAAATAAGAGTTGAATGGATAAAAATTAAAAGATACAAAGGTGTCATACTCCAATTAGTAATTACAGGGGAAAATTTTGTTTAATGAGAAAAGAAAATATGAAATTGAAACAGGACAGACAAAAGTATAAATATGATGACTGGAAAGGCATTGAAACTTAGAAAAAGATATATATAATTGAATTTAGAAAGGAATGAGATAATTAAAAGTAAGATTGAGAAAACTAAGGGGGATTGAGAAAACTAAGGGAAGGGAAAAATTATTGAGAAAATGTTAAAATAGTAATAATATATGGAATAGAACACAAAGATGAATATGAAATTGAATTTGTGTCTGTATGGAGAAGTGATAACCCGGGACCATGCTATTTTCAAGAAAAGAAATTTTACTTGTATTGTGTTTTGTGAAAACGCAAATAAAATTTTTATTAAAAAAAAAAGAGGACATTAATTGGGCCTCACAGTTTCCACAGCTCACCTGGCCCATGCTACAGGCAGCACTACCACAGGGGAAGCTCACAGCACCTCTTGTGCCTGCTCTGTTTGCGGAATGGAGAGGGAAGTAACCCAATCAGACCCGAAGGGCCTGGAAGAAGCCCAAGATTCTCAAGCCCCTATGAGGAAGAAAAGAAGACAAAGTGGCCATTGTGCAAATAGAGATGCTGCAGCTAAGATCAGAGCCAAGGCCCTGGCTCCCAAATCGAAGCTCAAGGCTGAGAAGAGAAGGCATGCTGCTCTGGAAAAGCAGTTTGCAAAGACATTGGCACAGATGAGAGACCAGATCCAGCAGGCTTCTCAGTCAGGGGAAGTGCAGGCTTACCCAGAGGTTTCTATAAGGGAGGGGGAAATGTTCCCAGCTCTGCTAGCCACCTTTTAGCTTGGTCTCCAGAGAGGGTGGAAGAAGAGCTTTTACCCCAGGATTTAAGCAGATCAGGTCCCTCCTCTAGACAGGCAGCCTGGGGCCCTGGTCCCTCTTTCCCCATAGGTCAAATGATCTAAGGCCTAGGCCTGAGGCAACCTATACTCCCACTGCTGTGGGCTTGCGTCCGGTGGACCCCCCACAGGGAACAGGCCTGATGACATCAGGGAAATGGTCTCAGTGGCCATAAGGCAGGGCCTGGCTGAGGGGCTTCAACAACTTCTTCACCCACCAGGGAGAGGACAGTCCTTGTTTCCTAACTTGTCCCAAGGTCTTCCCACTCATCCCACAAAGGTCTTCCCAGACAACAGTTCAGTTTCCAGCCTACCCAATCATATTGGGGCGAGGATGAGGAGAGGGATTATACCAACCCTTCTGAACATAGTCGCTCCTCTTATTCTGAGAAGAAGGAAGGTGAGATCAGAGATCCTAATTTGTCAGAGGAGGAGGAATTTAGATCTGATCTACCTCCCTCAGCAGCAGTTTTTAAACCTTCATTATTTAAACCGTTCCTGCACAAAGCTTTGGTCACGGCCCAGCTAATCCCTGAGGAGGTGGCTCCAGAACCACAGGTGGCCTCTTCTAGCCACAGTGATTCTCCATTCTCCAAGACAGTGGTCCATACAGAAGTACTTCCTTCCCTGCTGGTATTTCTTGATTTAGTGAAGGAGCAGTATACCTCCCCTGGGTCGGGGCCTCGTCCTTCATCGTACAACAGGAGATTTTATAACATGGGCCTGGCTTTGGCCAACGCCCTGCTAGTGCCCTCAGTGGACGCCCCAGTGGTAGCCTCGTTCTCTTCATCAGGCACTCCACTGAGCCAGAGGATGTGCTTAAGGCAGAGGACAAAAGGTCTCAGCAAACCCTCAAGCACACCCACCAGGCAGCGACTTGGGCTATCAGGGCATCTATGGCAGCTTCGTTTTTCACGAGATCTTCACTGGCTGTACCAGCTGGAGGAGAGACTCCTGGCCAACGATTTCAGGGCACATCAAGATCTTAAGATAATTACGACATACAAGATAATTTTTTCCATATTTCCTTAGCTGTTGTTTTAAACATCTAACTAAAGCAAATCAACCAAAAATGGAGGATTTTCATTGTAGGCACAATTAATCCTAGAGAATGAGGAACATTTATGTGGTTTCATGGCATATGCCACTGAGAATCTCTTTAAAACTTCAGTAGATTTCAGACTAGAGAAGCATGTTAATTTGCTTCTATGAAAGGATGAATTTAAGACTTATGTGCGTATTGCTTCAGCATTTAGTATCAAACATCTAAAAGAAACATTTGAGGGACCTCAGTTACAGAGAAAACGATAATCTGCCTTGCGTGTTATTACACGTACTTAACCAAGTCTGCCTTATCTCAGTCTTGTCAGTTAGGATTCTCTCTTAAATATCAGCAGGAACTATTGGGTAAGTGAAGATACATTCAAATGATACTTTTGACACTAGTAGTAAAAGTATCTGTCAGTTATTTCACATCATTTCTTGAGATTAATTTAGTATTGGTAACCCTGTTCAGTAATTGCTACATCACAGTATTTAATCTTTATGTTTCTCCCTCGAGCCGCTCGGAGCATCCAGAGACTGGGATGTGCTTCTGAGTCCTCTTCTTGCAGGCTGAGCTTTAGATGAGGAAACGCTCCGCCCCCTCACGTGGTATCGCGCAGCGTCTCCCCAGTCTTTTGCTCAGCCTCGAAGAGTCAGGCTGTGTTTTCAGAGAGCTCCTTGGCTGATCGCACATTTCTTGCCTATTTCTTACCTATTCCAACTCTCGTCTTCATAAGGTTTGCCTTTCCTTCCTCCTCCTGCGCAAAGGGTCTGGACTTAAGGGAAAAATTTCCCCGTCCCTGGGGCGAAGCTGCGGGCTCGCAGCGCGATAGCACGACCCCCCCACCCTTATCAGATCGCGTCGCTGCCTCCGCGTTGCCTCGTGGCACGCATTTCCTTTATTGCTGGATTCCCCCCCACCCTAAACGCCGATCGGGAGGGTCATCGCCCCTAGGGCCCTAGGAGCTGAGCTGACCAGCAAAGCCCTCCTTTTCCGTCCCGAAGGCGTCCCGACGGTTCAGCTTGCGGCCGCCATTTTGGCTCCGCATCGTGGTCGGGCGCCATTTTCAAATACTTTAGCTGCGGTGAATTGGAGCTCCAGGCCTTGGGTTAAAGCTTAGCTGCCCATCTCTTCCACCTGGCCCGCTCTTTTATTACTTGTTGGCCTCCCGCAGCCCGTTTCGGGGCGAAGTTGCAGCCCCCCCCTCCGGTTTTATTTTTCTTGTCTGGAGGCCTGCTGCCAGAGGCCCTTTCTTCTACCATAGGCCTCAGGCGTTTATTTGACTGATCCGGCCTGTACGGAGATATACGAAGTCCTCCCTGTTACGGTTATTGTTTTTTTTAAATATATATATATATATATATATATATATATATATAATAATAATAATTTTTGTTTTGTATAATAATATTTTTTCGTAGATATATAAATATTAAAAAAAAAAACAATCAAAAGGAAAAGAAGAATTACAAATTAGAGTATCTATTTTTCTGTACATACTATATTTCTTAGGTACCTTACTGTTATCTCTGTACTTAAAAAATTCCAAAAGGGGGAGAGGGCCAGCTTCACCTTCACCCGGCCTCATCCAGGCCTGCTCTGGGCGAGCCAACCGCCTTTGCTAGTATTTGTTATCTAACATGGCAGACGACAATCCCTCTAAACGTCCTTCTTTGAAGGCTAAGGCAAAGTCCCACTACTTGCGCAGGCAGGACAAGGAACCTAAGGGCTCTAGACAGGACAAGGAACCTTCCAAGGCCGCCCAACGTGATGCCTTAAGGCGCCACAAGGCGTTGGAAAAAGAGTTTGACCGGCGTTCAAGGGAGTCCCGCTCGGAGCCGTCAATTCCTCCTCCTCCAACCCCTTCTACCTCTGCTCAACCTCTCCCCTCAGACCCCTCTTCCCTACCTAGGCGCAGTTCGCTTCAAGGTCTTCCGACCCTCGGACCTCCGACTAGACGGACCCCCGAAGCCACCTTTACACCCACAGCCGCTGGTCTGCGCCACGATGAACCCTCTACCTCCGAGGTTCCACCTCACATCAGGGCCTGGATGGAATCAGCCATCCGCCAGGGCATAGCAGAGGGACTACAACACATGACCAGATCAGGCTTCTCTCCGCGAGCCTCCGAGCACGACTTGTTATCAATCAGATCCCTTCCACAACCGGCTCCCCCAGTTGATCAGGTACTCTCTCAGAGGGACAGTCCTCCTCCGATTGGGGCCCAGGTGGAGGAGGAAGGGGACTTTGGGGATTTCAGGGAAGAGGAAGAGGATTCCCGGATGGGATCTTCCCGCTACAGTGAACCCCTCTTAGAGGCTGACATCATGGAGGGGGAGATGTCGGAGGACGAGGGCCCTTCCCCCGACCAACCCACCTTTGGGGGGCTGTTCAAACCGCATATGTTCAAGTCCCTCCTCCTTAAGGCCAAGAATGTCTCTGGCCTTCTTCCCCAGTCCCCTGCAGAACCCCCCCCGTCCCAGAGGGCCCGGAAGACTCCATTTTCACCCAACCAGTGGTGGAAGCTGAGGTCATCCCATCCCCTCCCATCTTCGTGGATCTGGTAGCGAAGCAACTTACCTCCTCAGGGACCCCTCCCACTCCCTCTAGCCAAGACAAGAGATTCTTTAATCTCGATTCGGCTCTGTCTAACCTTCTCAATATTCCGGAGGTTGATGACCCCATTGTGGGTCTAGCCTCCTCCTCTACCCCTAGTGAGGCCCTAGAGGCCCTGAAACCTGAGGACAGGTGGGCGGAGCTGGCACTGCGCAGGGCTCACCTATCTGACGCCTGGGCCATTAAATCAGCTACGGCCGCCTCATTTTTCACGAGGTCCTCTATCCGCTGGCTACGTCAGCTCAAGGACCACATCCCTGCTTCCAATCTGAGAGCTCACCAGGATATAGCGAAGTTAGTGGCTGCAGCCGAGTTCTCGGCTGACGCCACTTACCAGTCGGTAAAATTTTCTTCCAGGGCCATCACGTCGCACGTCACGGCTCGCCGCATGCTATGGCTCAAACACTGGCAGGCGGACGTAAAGAATAAGGTCAAGCTGGCCACTGCTCCCATTACGGGAGATAAACTGTTTGGCCCAGCTTTGGAACCTCTACTGGTCGAGGGCCGCAGTAAGAGAAAGTATCTGCCCTCCCTTTTTCGAAGATCGGAGGCCAGGGGCTCTCAGCCCTTTCGGAGGAGCTTTCCCCGCCCCTTCTATCAACCCCCCTTCCCGCCCAGATACCCTAGACCCCCCTCCTTCCGATCCCAGGATCGCACGGACCCGGGCGACAGAACCAGACGCGGTGGCGGCTACAAGAGACCCTTTCGGGGATCGGGAGGAAGGCCCTACCGCAGAAGGTAGAGCCTCTTCCTCCCCTCCCATTGGCGGCCGCCTCAGCCACTTCGCCGCCCAATGGGACATATCCACTTCCGATGCATGGGTCAGGGACACAATCAACCACTTGGGTGCCATAATTGATTCGGTTTCTCAAAGAGTTTTCCTCTCCCCGGAGAGGTTCCTTAGCATTCAAGCCCTAGTCACACAGGTCAGGCGTTCAAGGAGGGTGGCCTTGCTGGACCTCTCTAAATTGTTGGGCAAAATGGTGTCATGCATCTCTATTGTTCCCTGGGCCCGTCTACACAGCAGATCCCTCCAGTGGTTCCTGCTCCCGTTCCAACGATCCGGAAGAAGCAACTCGAAGGCCAGAGTCAGGGTCCCTCCAAGGGTCCTCACGTCTCTTCTCTGGTGGACCAATCCCGCCATCAACAGAGGCCACCTCTTCGCGGAACCTCAACGACTCACCGTCACTACGGACGCAAGCCTGTCCGGTTGGGGCGCTCATCTCGACTCGCTCTCGGCACAGGGCAGATGGTCGCCGACCGAGCAGAGGTGCAGCATCAATTGGCTAGAGCTTCACGCTGTCCATCTGGCCCTGCGCAGTTTTCCTCAGATCCGCAAACATCACGTTCTCGTTCTCACGGACAACGTCACGGCCAAGGCCCATATCAACAGGCAAGGGGGCACCCAGTCCATTCAGCTAATGAGGGAAGCCGAGCGCCTTTGCCGCTGGGCAGAATCCAACCTTCTATCACTAAAAGCAGAACACATCTCCGGAGTAGACAATACTCAGGCGGACTGGCTGAGCAGGGCCACGGTGGACCAGGCAGAATGGCGTCTCCATCCATCCCTATTCGAGGAAGCGTCCAGAATATTCGGCCTTCCGGTGGTAGACCTCTTCGCCTCCCCGTCCAACACTCAGCTTCCTCGGTTCTTCTCCCGGTATCCGTCTCACCGGTCGGAGAATCACAACGCTCTGCGCTGTCCATGGCCCCCAGGGCTCCTATATGCCTTCCCTCCGCTCCCGTTAGTTCCCAGAGTAATACAGAAACTTCTTCAGGAGAGGGCAGACCTTCTCCTGGTGGCTCCCTATTGGCCCAGGCGACCGTGGTTTGCGGATCTCCGCAATTTATCGGTAGCGCCCCCATGGAGGATTCCCCCCGGACAGGGTCTCCCTCTCTCAGGGGCCCCTTCTGCGTCCGGAGCCTCAATGGCTCCAGTTAGCCGTCTGGAGGTTGAGCGGATCCGTCTGACTAGTGAGAATCTCTCGAGTCAAGTCATCGACACTATTTTGGCCGCCAGGCGACTTTCCACTACACGAATTTATGATGCCACTTGGAAGGGGTTCTGCAAGTGGTGTAGCGGGTCTCAGGTTGATCCCCTCTCTCCCTCTGTGGCTCAGATCCTAGATTTTCTTCAGGAAGGCCTTCGCAAGGGGCTCGCACCTAACACCCTGAGACGGCAAGTTTCTGCCCTCTCAACCGTGGTCTCCTGTGATAACTACGGTTCCCTTTCTCATCACCCCCGAATTAGATCTTTCCTTAGGGGCGCCACCAACCTGTGCCCTCCCACTGTTCACAGGTTCCCCACATGGGACCTCAACAAGGTCCTCGTTTCTCTTACTCGTCCCCCGTTCGAGCCTTTGAGGGATTCATCCCTTCAGTTTCTCACCTTTAAGGTAGTTTTTCTAGTAGCTATTACTTCTGCTCGTCGAGTTTCGGAATTAGCAGCTCTGTCAGTCAGGAGCGATCTATGCGTGTTCCATGCAGACCGAGTGGTCCTTCGTCCCGACCCCACCTTCCTACCCAAAGTCAACTCTCCCTTCCATAGGTCACAGGAACTGGTTCTACCAAATTTTTGCCCTAGGCCCTCCAGGGGCAGGGAGGTCCTCTGGCACTCCCTAGATGTTAGAAGGGCCTTGCGTATATATATTAAGCGCACTCAATCCATGAGAAAGTCGGAATCCCTCTTCCTATCCTTTCAACCCAGGTCTCTGGGGCTTAAGGTTTCTCCTTCCACCATCAGTCGCTGGATCAGGGCCACTATTGCGAGGTGCTACCTTTCCCATTCCCTGCCCGCTCCGGGTGGAATAACCGCCCATTCCACCAGAAGTGCAGCCACCTCGGCGGCCTGGGCCACGCAAGCCCCCATCGCTGACATTTGTCGGGCAGCCACCTGGACCTCTCCGTCCCCGTTTATCAGACATTATAAAATAGATACGTACGCCTCAGCGGAGGCCTCTTTTGGCCGACGGGTCTTACAGAGGGTCATCAGTGATCCGGAGGGGCCTTCGGGCCAGACGGAGTCCCACCCGTAGGACAGCCCAGCTTTGGTATGTCCCAGTCTCTGGATGCTCCGAGCGGCTCGAGGGAGAATGGGCGTTGGTTCTTACCTGATATGCCCCTTCTCGGCGAGCCGCGAGGAGCATCCAGCCCCACCCTAATTTCTCCGTCTGGTGGGGACTCTTGCTTCAGCCAAGGAGCCAATAGTAGATTAGAAAGAATTAATAACCTCTCTTCTCGTTATCGCAAAAAACTGGGGAGACGCTGCGCGATACCACGTGAGGGGGCGGAGCGTTTCCTCATCCAAAGCTCAGCCTGCAAGAAGAGGACTCAGAAGCACATCCCAGTCTCTGGATGCTCCTCGCGGCTCGCCGAGAAGGGGCGTATCAGGTAAGAACCAACGCCCAGTTTTGATGTGCACATGTGTATATTTTCTTTCATGATTAAACTACCTTTCAGCAAATGCTGTTTTTATAAAACTGTTGCTGTTTGCATAAACAGCAATAATAATAATGGAACACATTATTTGTGCAAATTGGATTAAATAATGTGGTCACTGTCTAGTCTTTTGGCTGTTCAAGGGGTAACGATGATTCAGGGATAGGCAACCTGGTAAGCTGAATTTCTAAACTTCCGGTATGCTGAATTTCAACTATCAACCTTCCCAGCATTGCGAATTGCAACAGATTTTATACTAGATATTGTCTATTTGTGTAAGATGATAATTAAGCTTGGAAATTCTTCCTTTGATTCTGAATGTACTTTTAAGCAACTCTGTTTAGCTGGCTCTTGGATTCCCCCCCCCCTCTGGTATCATCATTCATCTGCTTACAGGTAGTCTTTACTAATTGCCCATTTGTTCAAAGATGGCGTCCATTTGTTCGAAATTATGATGGCATTGAACAAGTGTTAGTTATGGCCAGTCCTTGATGTTATAGCTGCTGCAGCGCCCTTACGGTCACATGATCGTGATGTGGATCCTGAACAAGCCATCTGCATTTATGACCAGATTCATTTACATACCCACCCACCTGTCTCCTTCTCATCACTGTCTTTTAATCTGTCTTGTACTGTGCTGCTCCTCCTGCCCTATACTCTTGCTCTGGAAAGGTTTTGTACAACCGACAGCTATCCCATGACAGGCCAAGTTGGGCATGCCTCATCAACAGTGGGAGGAAAAATGACAAAGGTCAGTTGGGGCAATGGGACGCAGTCTAGCCAAAAGGGTAGAGATGGGGGAGAAATAGGTTGGTGGGAAGAGTTGAAGTGGAGGTGAATGTAGTTGGACAGAAGAAAGTGAGCTCCTGGCTTATCAATGGTGCATTCCTGGCCTAACAATTGCAACCAGGACTACCAAAACTTCTGTCACCAAGCAGTGCAATTACATGATATTTTACCTAATGACAGCATCATTTAGCGAAGGAAATTCCAGTTCCAGTAAGATGCATTAATCATGAACTATCTGTATAGTTTATACATTGCATTTTCTTGTGTCTCTTTGTTTAGGGAGACTTCAGAATGGATTTAAAGAAAGTCTCCTATGAATTAGCCTGCTAAGGCTTGTAAGTGTATGCACTCTTGGTTTAGATGTTAACATCAAAATATTTATGTAGTATATATGTCATTTTCAAGTACTCTGAAATCCAGAATCAGCAGAAAAAATATGGATAAGTGCAGATGAGCATCTGAGTAGGAAAGCCATTGATTTGGTTGACTCTTGGAATTTTTCATTTTGTCGTCATCACTGTACTTTCTATTGCATTCTCTTATAATCTTATGAGTGTGTTTAAAAATATAATATCACCAAATATTACAGTGCTAAAATGAGATTACATTTTGATGATACTACTTTTAATTTACCAGATTTTCAAATACATCATTGAGCTTTCATTATATAAATACAGAATGAGAATTTTCCATCGACCATCGTGAGACACTTTGGAAAGCCAATTAATTATATTGTATTTCAATTTTTGGAGTTGATAATCAGGTAGTCTCACCTTCTGACCGCCATTGGGACTGGCAGCTCTGTTATTAAGGGGAGAGATTATAAAGTGAAGCATCACTTGACCATGCCTAACTTACAACATCAGTTTTGGCTGCAGTCGTGAAGTAAATCATTCACAGTTATTAAGCACAATATCACATGACAGCAACTGCAACTTCCTGTTCGCTTCCCCAGTAACTTTGTTGAATCACTGCAGTTGTTAAGTTAGTAACACTGTTATTAATCGCATGGCTTTTCCATTGACTTTGGTTGTCAGAAGGTCACAAAGGGTGAACTCGTGACCCCTGCTCTTGTCTTCCTCTCATGATCTTCCTTCCTTCCTCATTGAAGTAGGGAAGCTGTAATTATTATTTATTTTTGGCAAGCAGTCAGGAAAAAGGTATATTTGCAACTGAACCTTTACGTATAGAGAGAAATACACCATTTCCTGACCCTCTCTAAGGTTCAGTGGAACATATGTGACAAACTGTTCATGCATAGATTTCACCTGGCAAACTATACATATTTTGGTAGAGGGATGGTATTGCATCTGATTTTTGAAATCAAGTCTGGAGAAATAGGTCTTGTCAGACTCTTATTCTCATGAAAGTGCGTGGCCATGGAGGAATATAAAGTATAGGCTATAATTTGAAATAAATGCCCAGAAAATTAAAAAAAAAAACCTTAAGCAAAATCTTATTTAACTATTTGTGTTTGGGCTGTTTTATATAGAAAGCCTTCTAAATACAGTGAGATGCTAGTCTCCAGCTCAGCTTTTCAGAGGCATTCCATCCTTCAAAAGGCCGCAAAAGCAGTTGTAAATATGTGAATGTACATATTTTCACAACAGATTTTGAATTCCTTGTGACTAGTTTCAAATTCTACCTGATTTTGGAACAAATATATTAATAATTTATGCTGATGAAGCAACTGCAGTATTTCCTTAGCCATATTTTTAGGAGACATTGAACTTGTAACTTGAGATGTAATTCTTTTAGAATATACTGGACAACCCTGTAACACATTAGGTCATCCTTTGAGAGAAAGGTCATACAGTCTGAGTGACCAGAATTAAAATTAAATTTTAGACTCATCAATTTTTTTTTTACAATGTTGGATGGTCCTGTGATCATCTAAGAAGAGTACGTAAATATATAATATATTTATAAAATACTGTATATAAATCATAATCATGTCACCATGGGCATACTGCACAGAGACAATTTTGTGAATAAAATTTCAGTTTTACGGGAGTAATGGGTCCCAGATTTTTTATACATTTCATAAATTAACGGACTTTTAGGTATCTTGATTCAAAAAATTGTTATGGTATGATGCATCATTTGGGCTAACTTGAAGGTACAAACAAAGATAAACACAACGAAAGTTTTACTAGTACATAGATTTATAGTGGAATACATTATACTGGTAATTTCTTATTCCATTATTACTGTGGTGTTCCTGTATTAGCTTGCATTGTGCTTTATTATATCTATGTGCATCTGATTGAATAAATGGACAAATATAATAAATATTTAAATATTAGATATTTTTGCAAATAAATATATATTTAATATGAGAAATAAAGGGATAGGGAATTGTTCCCATAAATGGATATGCAAATTATTCATTTGCAATAATTCTAAATAAATGATACCACTGGTTAATACTAAGAACAGGTATGTATCGTGATAGTACTGTATAATCCTATACATTATTTTTTCTGTTTCAGGTAGCATAGTATATCTTGGGATGATGGTAGGAGCTTTCTTCTGGGGAGGCTTGGCAGACAAGGTGGGAAGAAGACAGTCTCTTCTGATATGTATGTCGGTCAATGGATTCTTTGCTTTCCTTTCATCATTTGTCCAGGGCTATGGCTTCTTTCTCTTCTGTCGATTACTCTCTGGATTTGGGTGAGCTCTTCTGCTTTCTTCTATTGTCTAAACTACAGTACACTTGTATGCTGATCTTTTTCAAGGTGAAGTGATACTAACGGTTATTCCTTTTCAAAAGATCAAATTTGAAAGTAGGTTGCTTCAGATATTTTTACATTCTCTTAGTCTACACTTTTGGCTATAGTCATCCATATTATTCAGGTATAGCAATGTTATACAGCTAAGGAAGAATAAAGGAGATAATTCCAACAGCGATGGCTGAAAATCCTGAAATAGATTAGCCAGTTGTGTTTGGCTGATTTATTCCTGAAGCAAGACTTTCTGAAATGGTCATCAATGAGGGTCTGGAGAGAAAAAGAAGGGGGAAGAGGAACCCCTGGAACAAAAATGTACTCAAAGCAGATGGTTTTGGAAAACAGAAGAAGAGTGTGAGAAATCAACTGCCAGTCATTAGCAGTCTGAGCAAGAGTGCTAGTTAGTGTAATTACTCTTGTCTTATCTCTAAACAAGAAGTAGGAATAACCAAGTTTAGACACAAATATAAATACTGTACTCATGTAATTCATTGATACATTATACTATACGCATAACAAGTAGCAGCAATTTTACCAGTAGCAGGAAATTTTATTTTTTACCAGTACCAAGGTAACAACTTACTACATCAAACTTTTATGATATCACAGGATTGTGTCAAAAATTATCAATTTAGATGTGTTTAATTCATTTCTGTCAATTGACCTACATGATAATGTTGATTTGCTAGCATTTGTGTAAGACCATCCTCCCATTTCTTCAAACAGCATTGCCGTTTTAAATATTCTAAAATTTGTATAACTTTACAATATAGGACACTGGATTAACCTCCCAGAGATATGCAACGCTTCAATTTTTTGTTGGTTTTGGAAATCTTTCAAGATCTGGCTCTGTTCCCATGCCTGAAGTTAGAGCTATGGAGGAGCCCCTGCTGTTGTTTTGGTCTAGACAATTAAGTCTTTTTAAATTTGTTTTAATATATGTATTGGGTTAGGGTTAGGGTTGTATTCACCCAGAATGTTCTTGGAGTTGAGCAGCCTTAATAAATCCAATAAACAAAACAAAAGTTCATTCTTCCTTGGAGGAGATATCAGGAAGTGAGGAAGAGACATAGAATATCTGTTTTAACGAAAGGGTCAGATCAGGGGTGAAGAAAAATCATCTTGGTGTCCCAAAGGTGTTTTTGCAAGAGGCAAGTAGACTTACTTGTTTTTCTTTGAAGACGCTTCATTTCTCATTCAAGAAGTTTCTATGACCTGGATGACTGAGAATCTCCATAGACATTTAGCTATCTGTTTGGGATTAACACAGGGATGGCTGCTGGGGGGTCGCAGGGGTTCAGGAGAGCCCCTAGCTAAGATTCTGTGGAGTTCGGAGAACCCCCAAATCCCACTCCTGGCTACCCCCCCACCCCTCCCAGGAGTCCCCATGTGGCCCGTTTTGGATGCAGGTAAGTGCAGGGCGCGCGCAGAGGCTCAGGGAGTGCAAAAAATGCACCTCCCGGAAGTTCGGGAAGGCTAGAAATGGGCCCGTTTCCAGCTTCCGGAGAGGCTGTTTTTGCCCTCACGGAGGCTTGAAAAAGCCTCTGGAGCCCAGGGATGGCAAAAATGCCCCCCCACCACTGCCATGGTGCAGGAGGCCGGCTAGGCCATGCCCGCCATGGCTACGCCCACCCAGGAACTGGGCAGAGGACCTTTTGCTAAAATTTTTGAATCCCACCCCTGGATTAACACCCTTTGAATGGTGTGGGAGTATGAATGGATTTCCAGAAAAAATGCAGACAACAGGAACCATTTGCGCTTCAGTTTGAGATGCAGAAACATAGACGCATCCCCAACTGCCTGCGCCTGTGTTCAACAGTGAAGGGTCGCAAGGCAGAAAACATCCTGCAGAAAGCACAGCTCCACAATACAGTCCTTTCAGCAGTTCCAAGAAGTCTCCACACCCATTTGCACTATCAGCTGATCCTGAGGACACAGACAAACCTCCAAGTGGCCTCAGTGACTCTAAAAGAATGCAAATGACTAGCTGTCTGCAAGGTATATAAATCCTTCCATTCCCCATAATCCTGTCAGAGCTGGAAAAGCTTGGATGAAAAACAAAATGTCTTAAAAGAAAAACAAGTCCAGTTGCCTATTGAAAAAGCACCTTTGGGACAACCATGACCCAGATGACTGAGAATCTCCATAGACAACCATCAGAGTACTTGGCAGAGTACTATTGTCAAAGATTTATCAGTTTTAATATATACATTTAATTTATTCTAACTAATTGGCCTTAATGATAATATTGATTTACTAGGACGGTGACCACAATATGATTGACTTTTGTCTCAACATACGCCACACAAAAATCATCACAATGACGTAATCCCCAATTATAACTTAAAAAAGGCAACTATGATCTTATAGACAACGATCTCTCATCCCTTGATTGGCAATCTCTATTCACTGGATGCAATACTGTTGAAGACCATTACAACATATTTTTACATGAAGTTAAAAGAGTCATCAAACTACATGTACCAACAACAACTCCCAAAACAAACAAACAAACAAAAAAAACAGATTACCCATAACAATAAGGAAACTTCAATCCAAAAAGACATCACTTTTGCGGAAAAACAAACCTGGTCACGTTGCCAATTTCAAAAGCTGATACAAAAATTTATGCCACCAGATAAAGACTGAATGCACCAATTATCACATTAAACAAGAGGAAAACCTTCTGCGCACCAATTCCACCCACACTTTTTACAATTTTGTAAACAACAAACTAAAAGACTCAAGGTCCATCCCACCCCTGATGGGACCTAATGGTAAAGACTGCAACGACAACACCATTAAAGCCAACCTCTTTAACACATTCTTTGGCTCAGTATTTGTAAACAGCAATGGATCATGCCCAGTATTTCCTAGCCGAACCACAGAAAACTACAATGATCTAATACATATCGATTTTATAGAAGACAATGTTGAAAAAGCACTACGCAATCTAAAACCACCTCTATTGGACCGGACGGAATATGTGCCTACTTCTTAAAAAAGCTATCCACTGCCATAGCAGAACCTCTAAGCATAATCTTGAAAAATCTTTCAGGACCAGCTCCTTGCCTAACCTATGGTCACAAGCCACGGTCATCCCCATCTTCAAAAAGGGAGACCCCAGCCTAGTTGAAAATTACAGACCAATCTCTTTATGCTGCGTTACCTGTAAAGTCATGCAATAAATTATTAACCAATCCATTATCCTCCACTTAGAGACAAACAACCTACTCTCCAATTTGGTTTCAGAAAAGAACTATCCTGTAATCTGCAACTCTTACATTGCAAAAACATTTGGACTACACAACTCGATCAGGGCAAAACAATAGATGCAATGTACATAGACTTCTGTAAAGCCTTTGATTCAGTGGTACATGACAAACTACTCCTAAAACTAAAATCTTATGGTATCTCTGGACAACTGCATAACTGGATAGAAGTATTCCAGTCAAACAGACAACAAATGGTTAAAATTGGGAATGCCCTATCAAATTCTGTACCTGTCAATAGTGGTGTCCCCCAAGGCAGTGTTCTAGGACCAACTCTCTTCATCCTCTACATAAATGACCTCTGTGATCATATTAAGAGCAACTGCGTTCTCTTCGCTGATGATGTAAAGCTGTTCAATACCACAGACAATACTGCTACCCTTCAAAAAGATCTTGACTATGTATCAGAATGGTCAAGCAAATGGCAACTTCAAATCTCAACAAATAAATGCTCTGTCTTACATATTGGCAAAAAAAATCAGAAAATAAAATACAAGCTGAATAGTCAAGACCTTGTTGATGATCCAAGCTCTGTAAAGGACCTTGGAATACTCATCTCTAATGATCTAAGTGCTAGAGCCCACTGTAACTACATAGCCAAAAAGGCATTAAGAGTTGTTAACCTAATTGTACATAGCTTTTTCTCTGGTAATATTACACTACTAACTAGAGCATAGAAAACATTTGCTAGACTCGAATACTCGAATACAGCTCATCATGGAACCCACATTACGTATCTGATATTAACACAGTTGAGAAAGTCCAGAAATATTTCACAAGAAGAGTTCTTCACTCCTCTACTCGTTGTAGAATACCTTATGCCACCAGATTTGAAATTCTAGATCTAGAAAACCTTGAATTACGCCGTCTTCGGTCTGATCTAAGTATGGTATATAAAATCATACATTGCAATGACTTATCTGTCAATGAGTACTTCAGTTTCAACCATAACAACCCAAGAGCACACAATAGATACAAACTCAAGGTGAACCGCACCAAACTTGATTGCAGGAAATACGACTTCAGCAACAGAGTGGTCAATGTCTGGAATACTCTACCCGACTCTGTAGTTTCTTCCCCAAACCCCAAAAACTTTAACCTTAGACTGTCTACTATTGACCTCACCCCTTTCCTAAGAGGTCTGTAGGGGGCGTGCATAAGTGCACCAACGTGCCTACCGTCCCTGTCCTATTGTTTCTTTTTATTTTTCTTATATGTACCCATTTCATGTATTCATAACTATGTATATACTTATCCAGGGGTGTCTGCAGGATGTCAAAATAGTCAAGATAATAGTCCAAAAGGTCCAGTTGAAGCATTGTCTGCTTTTTATATGCAATACTTTTTTGGCCACACTCTCCTGATGCCTCTGCACCCCTCCATGTCAGTGGTACCTGGAAAACATGCAGTCTCATCACCCTTGAAACTTGGCACATAGCAGTTTGTTACCAGAGATGAGTAAATCCATCAGTGTCTTTGCTTTGCTGGAGCAAAAGAAAAACACTAAATAAATAAGAGCAATTTGGAGAGGGTGGGAGGATTTACATTGTTTTCCATCTCAGATTACAATAAAGCCAGAGAAAGGCTTGGGGAGTCAACATGCTTGTATTTCTTCAAAGCTGTGCCTGGATAATGTTCGGCAATACATGACTTACAGCATACAAGCTTTCTTTAATCAACATTTCTTTGATGTAAATAAGTAATTGATTTATTTGTCGAGATTCTCAGAACTCTATTGCTTTCGGCATGCTTTCCCTCAAAATATTGCAGAACTTCTGCAGGCATTTTGTTCCTGTTATTCCTTTTTTTTTTTTTAGGATTGGAGGAGCTGTTCCAATTGTATTTTCATATTTTGCTGAAGTACTTGCTCGAGAGAAACGTGGAGAACATTTAAGTTGGCTTTGCATGTTTTGGATGATTGGAGGTATCTATGCATCTGCCATGGCCTGGGCAATCATTCCTCATTATGGTGAGAAGTGCAGGATTATTATTTTTTTGTATAACTTCTATTGCCATTGTACATCAGCACTAAACCAGTTTATATTGCAATTGTTCTTCCATTGCCATTTTCATGATGGAATTACTTGTTTAATCAGCAAAATATTATGAACAGTTATTGATAATATGCAACGTATATTTTTAATTTCAGTTTAATATAATTCTGTTAACAGAAGCCATTATCTGAGGTTACAGATCTATGTGAAGTAAATACATAAGCATTGCAATAAATGGTGGGACTATTTGGCCCTTATCCCAAGATGGCCAAACAAAAATATTGTTTTTTGGTTGGCAATTTCACATTGGAAAACCTGCATGATCTAAAATCCCAGTAGTATATGCAGCAATGCACAACCCTAGAGTAATGAGGGGGGAAAAGTGTTGTTCTATAATTATAAGTAGTATTTTTTAAAATTCAATATACAAAATTTACTTAAATTTCTTTTTAAAATAATAAATGGACCAATACTGTTTGACTTTTAGAAATATGTGCGATTTCTTAGCTTATCTTGGGGTAAGACATTTATATACACAGCTAAATGGCTTTCAAAGGTTATTTACCATATTTGCCATAAATAGCTTAATAATATATACCAAGATATTTAAATGCCATCAGTATTTTCACTTTTCTTTCTGTTAATATTTGAAGTTAATTTTCTTTTTCCTCAATAGAAGATATTTTGGTTATGCCAAGCCACTTAACCTTTTCAGTAGTGATTATCTGTGTTATAACTAGAATCCATTCCAAGTTTGTAAGGTAGCTATATAATCAGTATTATTTTATTGAATCAGCTATTCCAGAACTGTGATTACTAGGGCTATCCTATCGTCAGTAGAACCAGTTTTTCTTAATAGACGAGGATGGATGATAAATTAGAGTTGGTTCTCTATTGCCTTATGTGTTTAGACCAGGGGATTCAAAATTTTCAGGTCATGTACTTGTGGGTGTTGGTGTCTGTGTGTGTCTGTGACTGTGACTGTGTCTCTTGCATGTATTGGATCCTTGATCAAGAGGCAAAGCTCTGATAAGTGGCTGCTTCCAGTGATTTTTGTTTGTGTGTACTTTGTCTCACAGGTTCTATGCTGAACAGAGTTTGAAAAATTCTGGAATAGAACAATCACTCCACCTTGATATTGTCCAGTCCTAGCCTGTGATACCATATAATAGTTGGCAGACAGAAGTAAAAGAGATCTTTTCAGCCAGCCAGATCTCCAGAATACCTGCTAAAGTAGAACTTCCATTCAGGATTGAAATCTGGATAATAAATATTTTATTTATGTAACACATTTAGATAAATTTATCTATAAATATGTTATATTCTGCCATTGAACAGGCTTTGTAATCTTTATAGGCCACCATCACCAATATAATATGTTGACTTGTTTGCGCAGGAGGAAGTTCACCCTATTTTCCATGCAGCAGCCATAGCATCCTTCTGTCATATCTATTCCTATAAAGCTTGACTTAGACTTGTCTGCAATTGTGCATAGGCATTGACACATACCTATGCTGAGAAGGAGTTGGTAAGTGTAGGTTTCAGATGGGCTAACACTCGCACACCTCAGAAATCTCAACTACGAGTTGTGTAGAGATGTGTGTTCTGCATGCTGAGTAGTTGATCCAGCTTCCGGTTGGGAGGCTGATGGAACGCAAGACCTGTTTTCTGTGCTTTGTTGTTTGAGTGCCCCCAGTAGGAAAATTAACCTCGTTGCTTGCAGTATGTTTGCATGGGTATTTAAGGTAAATTCCACAGTTCAGTCCATTCAGTCAGCTCAACTATTTCAGATATTCTAAAAAGAACCATCCAATTGGTTTGGGTAATGCTTTACAGAACTTCAACTGGTACTTGGAGGGTTGGATGACCTCTCCATTAAGTTTTGGGAGCTGATAGACCTGTTATTCCTTTGTGCTGCAGAAAACTATTGAAATGTAGGACTAGAATGATACACAATAAAGTCAAAATCATGAGGATATGGCTAGAGCAAAGATTATTGGGGCATGCTTGTGTCACTGTTAAACCCAGATATGAAAGGGCTTTTAAACCCTGAGTGCCTTTAGGCCACTTATTCTCACCCAGTCCAACTCACCTCACAGGGTTGTTGTTGTGGGAAAATACGAGGAGGGAGTGTTAGAAATGTCTGCTGTTTAAAGTTGTGTATAAAAATAAAATCGTGATATAAATTAAATAAATAACCCTTTATTAAAATTTGAGCAAACAGGAAAATCAGCTTATTCGGCCCAAGGGGGTTTTTCTTCCCCCCCCCCCCCAATTTGCTTGGAACTGCAACCTTGACAAGCAGATTCCCCGAATTGATTGACATAAACACAAATGTTGACTTGGCACGCTCCGGTCAAATTTTATTTTATATCATTTCAATAGCTTATTCACCCAACATGCTCAATATTGTTCATGCATGCACAAAACAGTTGCCCCTAATTATTCCATTATTGATTTAAACAGCATTTCCTCTTTTCTTTGTCTTTCTACCTCTGCCTACCAAAGAGCTGTTTTGGTCAACAGCTTGTTGTTGAGTTGGAAAATAAGTGTAGTCTCAGAGTTTTGGCTTAATTCCCAAGGAGAGCAAAATCTGATGTTAAGTTAGTTATCAATAGCACTAAGATTATCCAACCATTGCCACCTTTTGCATCTGCTAAAGCAGGACATTTTATTTCTTATAACCAGAGGCTTTTACAGGATGTGCTTACAGTTTTCCCATAAAATATATGTTCCTAACTCCAAATATACATGATTGCACCAAACCCAAATCTAAATTTTAAAAAGGAAATTATTCTAGTATTTTTTAAAAATAAATTTGTTTCGGTAGCTGATAGTCTATTGATAGACTTACCTCAGCAACTGACACTGGAACTATCATAGCTACGCAATGCAGTCATTAAATGAATCATCATGTGACCACACATACAACTTTTTTCCCCCAGGGGTCATTATGGATTAAGTAAGAATCATGTAATTGTTTAGTGGGCTTCTCCTATTGACTTTGCTTGTTGGAAGCTGGCTGATCAAGTGACAATGGGGATGCTGTGAAGCTTGTAAACGCGAGGACCAGTTATAAGTCACTTTTTCCAGCATTGTTATAATTTAACTGGTTGCTAAATAAATGGTTATAAGTTCGAAGTAGCCATAACTATTTAAATACGATCTACCATGTTGGATACCAACCTATTTCAGAATACCTCTGTTGGCCAATATTGTAAGCTAAATACCTGTATATCAAAGGGGAGAGAGATAGAAAGAATCTATTAAAAAGATTATATTCAGCATAGGAAAAAATTTCATTTTGGCCAAGACAGATGGTAAATTTACAGCACAACCAAGATTCCTAATTTATTCCTAACTTATTGTTTTATTGTACTTTTATGTTTTTAATATTCAAAATTACTTGTTTATGATTTTAGACATCTTAACTTCTACATTGTCAGATACCTGAGTTCAAATGTCTCTTTGAAGTGAAATGGTCTGTGCATCTAAACTTACTACATTTTTGGAAAATACATTATCGGTAGCAGAAAAGCTGACTGCAATGGTCATGGCTGACTTCATTATAGAAGACAATGAATTGCTTTAGGCAGAGTACATCTCTTTGTAGGCAGTATAACAAACTGTTTACCAAGCCAAGTGCACTTTCCTTTTGCATCTTTTAAACTCTCTTTTGAATTGTATTACTAAAATGCAGTAGAAAGTGCAGCTTTATTTAAATAAGTTGGGACTGTTTTCAGCTTGAAAGCACACAAAATATGTTTTAAAAGTGAACAATAACTACACGATTATTATAAAGATAATTGCATGTTAAAAATTGCTTTAAAATATTGAATCCAGCCATTTCCATCTACCAAAGAAGGAATGTTGCTGGTGGACCATATTTCCCCTTCTTTTTACATCCTCCTGATGCCCATTTGATTTGCTTCAGGGGTTGATGGAACCTTCACTCTTCCTCTAAATATTCTATCTTGAATACAGTGAAGTTATTTAGAATAGCAGGCTGTGAAGAGTTTATATGTACCTTAAATTGAGACAAGATTGGTACTAACAGTTTTGCTTCTAAATGTTATAAGAGTACCACCCAGTGGCTAGTTCAGCTATAACTTTTTCATCTAATTGAAACTAGTATTCCTTTTCCTAGTGTATATCCCAAAAACCATGGTAAGATTTTTATTTTATTTTATTTTATTTTATTTCAATAGTTGCCCATCTCAATTAGTAACTCTAGGCAGTATACATCATAAATGCAATGATATTACTAACACTACATACCTTGACTTTTCTCTGGAGTTCAAATTGATTTATATTCCTTGCAAACAGCTAGTCATTTGCATTCTTTTAGAGAGTCATTGAGCCCATTGTCTTGCTTAGCAATGTAAATTTTGGGCTCAGTTACGGTCATAAGTTGAGGACTACCTGCATTACGTTTCATGGTAGATCTTAAAAATAAATGTTAAATAATCAGTAACAAATACAGAATAGGTTACTGAAAACAATACTTGCCAGTACAAATATTAATTCTAAAATATTTGAGCTGGTCACAGATATAAATTGAATATTAGGGGCAAGGGGCATTTTAAAAAACAAACCTTTAAATGGCAGTTGAGACTGCATGATCAAAGGTTGCTCTCTTCATGTGCACCATGAAATATAAAATGGGAACAGACTCTAGAAAGAGTGCAGAGAAGAGCAACAAAGATGATTAGGGGACTGGAGGCTAAAACTTATAAAGAACGTTTGCTGGAACTGGGTATGTCTAGTTTGATGAAAAGAAGGACCAGGGGAGACATGATAGCAGTGTTCCAATATCTCAGGGGCTCCACAAAGAAGAAGGAGTCAAGCTACTCTGACAAGAAGCAATGGGTGGAAACTAATGAAGGAGAGAAGCAACTCAGAACTAAGGAGAAATTTCCTGACAGTTAGAACAATTAATCAATGGAACAAGTTGCCTCCAAAAGTTGTAAATGCTCCAACACTGGAAGTTTTTAAGAAGAGATTGAGCAACCGTTTGTCTGAAATGGTATAGGTTTTCCTGACTAAGCAGGGGGTTGGACTAAAAGACCTCCAAGGTCCCTTCCAACTCCGTATTCTGTACTATTCTGTTCTGTTCTGTAGTAATGCCTTCCATCTTGACGTCTTGTACTTCCCAAAGCCTCTATAACAGCTTTCACAAAGACCTTTTTTATATTAAAGCTATTGGATTCAGCTTTAGTGCATGATATATTCTGATATAATACTCTTAAAAACATACATGTATGGAAAATATTCTAGAAGCCATCTTTTTGCTGCAAAACAGAAAATAAAGAAATAAGTAAAAAAATAAACACGCCCTCTGCCCTCCCAACACACAATAACTAGTTAGGGTTGGTTTATTCTGAAAAGAACTTAGAAATGAAAAATGCTGTTTTTATTGTTTTTGCTAAAAAGCGAGACAGCCTTTCTTGGCTATAATGGGTTCTGTTTGAATAGGATGTTTATGTCTTTTATCATTGATCTCTCTTATGCTAATATCACCCTGTAGTCTGTCATTGCAACTTGAATGATTTATTTGGTCTTTCTTGTAATCAGTAGAGTGAGAAGGTGATATTTAATGTGAAGCTGCTGCAAAGATTGAAAAAAAGCTGAAGGTTTTATTTTATGCCACAGCCCCAGAAAACTGTTCCCAACATGCACTTGGGCCTATTGTTTTAACAACCCGCCTCACCCTTTGGAACTTGCTGCTGCTTTCAAGATTAATGACTTTTGAATTCAGCATTTGCAGGGAGCAAGGGTGAAGTTTAACTTTGCAGAACTGCATTGCCGTCTGAATGAATTAGACAAAGAACACTATACATCTTCCTGTTAGGTAACAAAGAATGGCAGATGGAAACCAAAAGCACACCTCAATTTGGCAGCAGTTCTTATCTATAGATAAATCTATTTCAAATTCATTTTTAAATTTAGTTAGTGGAAAGCAATATCTAGAAATCATGTTCTTCCTTTGCAACTAAAACAACAGGGGATCTTGGCCTCTTCAAAAAACCAAAATGGCATACAATAGTATAATCACTTGTATAAAGCTATAGACAATTGTATGTTCTACATAAAAATAAATACAATTATACTTATTTTAAAAATAGATTAGTTTGTTACTCTATTGCGATATTAAAAAGTAAAGGATCCAAATTTTCAAGAGGGCAAAATTTTATTCCTCGATGATTAGTTGGATTTTGGTAATTATATGCTGTATCAAAGACTGAGTGAAATAAAAGTTAAATTACAGCTGAATGTAAGAAACATCTGACAACATTGATATAATCATTGGATACTCTTTCATTCAAGCCTTGAGGGCTTTGTACATAGCTGATGTGGTATCAAAATATGTAAAAGGAATAATATTTTTAGCACCATCCTGATTTTAGCAGCAATCATGATAGATATTCTGTCTTCTCTCCTTTGAAACAAGTGAACACAGATAGTAAATTTCTGTAAATAGGAGAGATTGGAAATTAGGTCTTACCTTTTTTAGATACCTCACTTTGACTAAATTCTGGGAGCCATTTAATCTGTGGTTTTTATAAATATAAAACTTAGAATACATATTTTATGCAAGTCATTTCTCTGGTGTCAGTATATCTGAGAGAAAACTAGGTTTTAGATTTTTTTATAGAAAGGGAATAGTATAGGTACAATATTAATATATATTATAAGAGAAGATGTAATTTCTTTGTGTAGTTAAACGTGTTGGATCTCAGATATAGTTATGCAAAGTGTATAATAAACCTAATGTATTAGCTGGTTCTGAATCTTATTGAAGATATTCAATACATGTAATGCAAAGAAAGAGCTATTGCAGATCTGTACAAAATAAATACTTGGTTTATGTATGAATAATGAAAAGGCAATTTCTTTTTACCATGATCTCTTCATAATTAATATGATCATTGAAATTTGAGTGATAATTTTATAATATTTTTAGTGCAGACTTAAATAAGAAATTTATAGTTAAATTAGATAACTTGCCAGATATAAAGAAATAACTTTCTTTTCTAAGTAACTAAGGAGCAGGTACACATTAATATATCCTACCTGGTTTAGATTTTTTTAAAGGATTATGGAGGGGGAAAAATATCTTCAGTCTCCACTGATAGAAGTAATCAATAGATTTCCCAAAAAGTATTGATCATAACAAACTCTGGGTCAGATGATTGCTATTACTTTTACTTAAATGATAATAAATGTCTACAATAAATAAACAGAGTTAATGCTAAAATATGGTCAAAACAGAATGGAAATTTGCAGATAACACCAAGTGACAGGAATAGCCAACACTCCAGAAGATAAGCTTAAGATACCAAAGGATCTTGACGGACTTGAACATTGGGCACTATCTAAAAAAATGAAATTCATTGGTGAAAAAAGTAAGGTTCTACATTTAGGCAAGAAAAAGCAAATACACAGGTATAGCATATGTGGTACCTGATTCAATAGTAGTAACTGTGAGAGGGATGTTGGAATTCTAGTTGACAATCACTTAAATATGAACCAGCAATGTGCTACAGCTGCCAAAAAAGCCAACACAGTTCTAGGCTGCATAAATAGAATAAAATCAAGATCAAGAATCAAGATCATGTGAAGTGTTAATACCACTTTATAGTGCCTTAGCAACACCACATTTAGAATACTACATCCAGTTTTGGTTGCCACAGTGTAAAAAAGATGTTGAGACACTAGAAAGAGTGCAGAGAAAAGAGTAACAAAGATGATTAGGAGACTAGAGGCTAAAACATAAAGAATGGTTGTTGGAATTGGGTGTTAGTTTAATTAAAAGAAGGATTAGGAGTGACATGATAGCAGTGTTCCAATATCTCAGGTGTTGCCACAAAGAAGAGGGAGTCAACCTATTCTCCAAAGCACCTGAGGGCAGGACAAGAAGCCATGGATGGAAACTAATCAGGGAGAGAAGCAACTTAGAACTAAGGAGAAATTTCCTGACAGTGAGAACTGTTAATCAGTGGAACAACTTGCTTCCGGAAGTTGTGAATGCTGCAACACTGGAAGTTTTTAAGAAGAGATTGGACAACCATTTGTCTGAAATGGTGTAGGGTTTCCTGCCTAAGCAGTGGCTTGGACTAGAAAACCTCAAGGTCCCTTCCAGCTCTGTTATTCTGTTCTACTCTACTCTACTCTACTCCCTCCGCTCTGCCACCGCTCCACTCCTCCATTCTTCTTGTTGAAATAATAGATAGTCCCAGGAGTGGAGTTTTGTGGTTTTCTTCTTGAAGTAGTGGCAAAAGAGATAGCTAATGCCAGAAGTAATGGGGGGTTACCAAGATGAAACAATCATTCCATTGAATCCTCAGCAGCTGTCAATGAATTATAGGCAATACACTAAGTTGTATCAATAAGCCTTTTCACAGTCACAGCTCTGGCTAAAGTAGTGACACTTTAATCACAGAATGTGGCAATGGTTTTACTGTGGCATTTGATTTTTGAAAGAAGAAAAAAAGAATTTTCAAAGTACAGAATCTATGGAATAGGCAGAACTGTTTTCCTGCTCAGAAATTATCTGGGTTTATATGCCATGATGCCATTCTTTCAAAACATGTTGCATTCATAATACAGTGTCTTTTTCTCCTTTTTCAGGGTGGAGTTTCAGCATGGGATCTGCATATCAATTCCACAGTTGGCGAGTGTTTGTTATAATGTGCGCCTTGCCTTGTGTTTCTGCTGTGGTGGCACTTACTTTTATGCCAGAAAGTCCAAGGTTCTTGCTTGAGGTAAAATATCTACATTCCTTCAAGAAGCTGACCTGGGTCTTATCTGGGTCTTAATATCAATCTCAGATCCACCATTTAAATAAAAAAAACAACAGGCCAAGTATTTTCAGTGGGGACTTGACATTTTTGAAGTTCTCTCTCTGGAAAATGTTATTTGCCTCTTTCTCTTTGAGAGTTTTAATAACAATCCTTTTAAAAATTATATCAAGTTTTGATCTACTACATTGCTTTTAATGTGATGCTGTTTTATGGTTGGTTTTGTTATGCTATTTTATTCTGATACTTATTTGGTGAACTGTCTTGTTTGAGGTGAAAAAATGAATGTATTGCTGAAGATCTAAACATATCAGGGAGCAAGGTTCACAATAAATGTTATTTATTAATGAGGTGATTTAAAATTATTAGATACCAAATGTAACCTACAATATGCCATTGAGTGAGATAGAAAAATGTGGCAAAACATTTCTTTAAATGTAGATGTATTTTGAGTGAAGAAAGAGTGAATACAGATTGCTTTATCAACAGCTTGCATTTTCATAATTATTTCTGAAATTTTCAATTGTCTTCATATCCTTAGGTTGGAAAACATGATGAAGCTTGGATGATTCTCAAACAAATTCATGATACAAATATGCGAGCTCGTGGCCAACCTGAAAAAGTTTTCACAGTGCGTATTTTTTATACAAATATATATCATTAGTGGAAAATTAGTTGCAATTTAGACTGGAAAAGTTATCAGTAGAAACCATATATTCTTCTGGAAGAAAATAATACCATGAAGATTATTCACATAGATCTTGAAGATTTATTTTTGTTTAAGGACATTTTTTGATCCATTTGTCACTGGGGTCCAGATAGCTTTGGTAAGATTATCCGGCCATCATTCTTAATTCTTGTGGCCTTAGGGCTGCAACATATTCTTTCCCCAGTTTCCCTGTGCTCACACACAAATACACATGTACCGTTGCCACCTGAATTCACACCACACTGCGACACCCCTCCAACTCACGCATAACCTGCATTGGGCCTCCCCCCCACCCTGCAGCAACCTGCACTCCTTGTCTGGATCTCTCTTTGCTTTTGGTTTAACAATCCATGTTAAGTCGTGTGAATTGCACTTTATGACCTCACTGCTTAGTAGTGGAAATTCTGGTCCCAATTGTGATCATAAGTTGATGACTGTCAGGCTCAAGCAGCTAGATCAGGGCTGTCAAACTCCCAACCCGCAGGCCGGATGCATCACGCGCTGGCCATGCCCACTCCTTGCTTAGCAAAGTGGGGGAAGTCCCAATACGTCACGTGATGACGACGGGAGTTTGATACCCATGGGCTAGATCCACATATGAAAGGTTCAAGTTGACTATTTTGTTCTACCTGTTGTACAGGAATCTCTTCAGACTGCTTGCCTTCCCTTGGGAACAAATAGATAAAGTTCCATGAAACTTAAAGGGGGTCAGCTTTATGTCTCTTGTGGATGCGGAAAGACTCAAAACTAGTTCCCCACCTGATCCCTCCTCTCTGCCTGGCTGGAATGTTCCCAATAATGACTACCTATAATGGTTTTTAAAAATGTATTGTTAGATTTAATAGGATCTGTGAAGTTGCTTCTTATTCCATATTGGTTATAACTCAGTTTTGAAGGGTATTATGCAAAAATCATAACAAAACTAATAATGATATTCTCATATGAATTCATATATTCATTAAAATGTGTTTTAAAGAGCTGCAAACAATTTTTATAGTTTTTAAAAGCTCTACAGATAAGCTGATTTCTCTAATAATACCGCAAAATATCCCTGTTTCTAAAGAACCTGCACTTTCATATTCTCCTGTTCAGTTGACCTTCTATGCAAATCGTACTTCTCTTTCTTTCTCAAGAGATGGAAACTATAGCCAAGGTTAGATGTTTTAATTTATAAACATGCAACTTAAAGCTGTTTATAATCTTTTAGATAAGGCTGTTAACTTTCAATAGTCAAATGCTTGTTTCTCAAGTAGGAAAAAAAATACTCTTCTTGTGTTCTCCATAGGTTAATAGGATCAAAATGCCAAAACAAATAGATGAACTTGTAGAAATACAAAGTGACACAGGCACCTGGTACAGGAGATGCTATGTCAGGGTACGCACAGAACTGGATAGTGTAAGTAACACAATCTCTATAATATTATATATATTTAAGTACAAACTGGTTTAGAGAATCTAGACATTTACTATTATTATCAAGTTTAAATAAGACAGTGTTAAAATTACTAAAATAGATATAAAACAAACAACCTCTTATGCTTTTTATTCCCCCCTCCCCCCAAAATGAAATATTCTGTGATTCCATGTTTTTATAGGGATTTTCCAGATAATGGTACTTTACAGTGGTGGGATTCAATTTTTTTCACTACCGGTTCTGTGGGCATGGCTTGGTGGGCGTGGCAGGGGAAGGATACTGTAAAATCTCCAGTCAGAAGTAGTATTTGCCAGTTCTCTGAACTATTCAAAATTTCCACTACCAGTTCTCCAGAACTGGTCAGAACCTGCTGAATACCACCTCTTGTACTTTATTTATTATATTGCTTTCACCTTCTCCCAAAGTTGCTGATATGCTCTCAATTTAATTCTTGTAAAGTAGATTAGGCTGAGAGATAGTGGCTTGTCAGACTCACTCAATAATCCACAAAGATAAAGTTTGATGTGGTTTCTCCCATGTCCATTTCATTACTGTCATACAGTAAAGGGGCATGCTAACTGAATTTGGCAAGAATAGCTTCCACGTATACTCTACATCATGCAACAAGGCAAATACAAACAGACTATGGTTCTAAAGTTTCTAAATATTGTTAATCAGTTGGAGTACAAAAAGGGAGGGAAGTCAGAACTCAAATACTTACCTATAGTTTTTAGTACTTCTTTTTCCTTTTCCTTTTTGTTTCCTTCCTTTTAATATTTATAAATAATAATGTTGTGGAGATTTTGGAACTAAATTCAAAGATAATGTACTTCTATCTTTTGATAAAGATAATATATTTGGTCTGGTCTGGTCAATTTGTTATTAATATTAAAGCATTAATTGTATAATTTCAAAAATTTTCTTTGTCCAGTTATTTGTATTGACCAAATAAAGCCACAAAATGGGGTGTACTGAATCTTCCAGGAAAAGTTGGCTTCTTTTGTTCTTTTAAGTTGCTTCTAAAATTTGCCAAAGTTTATATAATTTATATAGCCCTTGTACATTGAATTGGTAGACCAGATTCAGTGTGGTTCAGTTTGTTGCATCCCTGGTGCTTGACAAAAACTAAATTAAAAGTAAAATAATTTCTGCAATAATAATTAAAAGCATCATCTAGAGTCTTCTACCAAAATAACAATAATGTGGATACTTTGAGTGGGGAAAGATGCTATGGGTCCCTACTGCACAAATGACCAATATGTGATGGCCTGCTTCTACTTTTATGCATTCTGGGAAATCAAGTGCCTATAATCTCTAGTACTTAAGTTTCAGGTGAAAATTTTTAGACCTCTGTGCCTATTCATGCCATATTTGGCCCAAGAGCATTCGTTACCAGTATCTTGATACTCTCTGGCTTTTTACTCCTACTTGTGGGATTCATAAAGGCTCCCCTTTGCACTGCTCAATTAGGGGTTGTGTTATTTCTTGATTTAAGCAGCTGTTGTTAAAAAGCAGGTCAAGCAGAGTATTCAGAAATCTAGTTATATCTGTAAAACTAAAGACTACGTGGCTTCAGATACAAACCTGATATTTCAGAAACTGGATTAGTTATTGCTGTTTCAGAGGAAAAATTAGGCCCCTTAGCAGTTTTCCTGATGTAAATGGTCACTATAGACCATCCGTCCCTCAAAGTAGCATTTTATTGAGGATCCTGAAGCAAAGCGGCGTATCTAACTTTCTGTGATGCTTATTCTCAAGTTTACTTAAATTTTTCATTTAGGTTTACATAAAACTTTAGAAAACAAATAAAGTTTTTCTTATTTTCTCACAGATTTGGTTAACATTTAAGAGGTGTTTCACCTATCCAGTCAAAGACAATACAATTAAGCTTGCAGTAGTATGGTTTACTCTTTCTTTTGGGTAAGGTTGATAAGAAATATTTAAATTTTGTAATTGTATTTACATTAACTTGGTTGCAAATTCATATGCATCTGCGGGTGATGCAGTGGGCTGGATGGATGTATTGCATTTACTTTGTGAAGGAAGATTCAAACAAGTTAAAGATGCCAAATGCCATATTCCAGTTATTAGGATTTTTCTTTATTATTTTCTAACCTAGAGACCTCCCCCATTATATATTTAGTGTGAAGCAGCTGTGCTAGTTTCATTCATTTTCCACAATATCAGTGTATGATATCATCAAATTACTGTCATCTCAAATTACTCCAAATCCTTTTTGAAACTGAAGAAAATAAGTCTTTGAAAAGCATAAAATTACACTTAAACATGGTACACAATAGAAATACTCTTTTTAAAAAAGAGGTACAATTTGAGATGTGCAGTAATATTGCTAGTGATTGGGCTATTTCCAAAGGATCTGTATCTTGGCATTCCTTTACTGTTGCCTTTCCAGTTAGTGACATGGATACATACAACAACAAACTTTTTATTATTTTATAAAAAATTTAAACTGCTCTTTTTTCACCCTTTTAAAATGTTTAATATTCATACAAACATTTTTTATTAAAAAACATTCTGCACTGACTTAATATTTAAATTAAACATAAACCAACACACACCCTTTTTCCAGTCTCCAGTCCACACTATTTTATCAATGCTTTCTTTTTTTTATTTCTACTTTTTTATCATTTACATTAACTGAATAATAGCTTCTGCACAAGCTTTTCTGTAAAGTATTTTTAAAGAATGGTTATTAAAAATGATTTTAAAACTCAATAAACTGTGATTGCTCAGGCTTTTCCCCCTATCCATGTAGTTTAAAAACTGATAATTTTACAGGAGATTACTTTTATAGCAAATGTATTGTGTGATCACGATACCAATACAACATGCAAGTCTATAAATATTCTTTAGAAAAACCATTTAAATAGGTAGGATTGGAAAAGTACAGAAAAGGACAACCAAAACAATCAGGGCAGCTAAAACAATCTCCTGTCAGAAAGAAATAATACAGGGGTTGTTTCATTTAAAAAAAAAAGCTGAGAAAGGGGAAACATGATAGAGATGTATAAAAATATGCCTCCTGTGAGCAAATGAAATACAAAGAAATTTGTCTTCTTCTATCAGAATCTGTGTCATTTGTTTTCTTAGAACATAGTGAAGTCACTTTGAAAGGAGATGAGACATCCATGGAGGATAAGGCAGTGTCTATTAATTTTGAAGCTCTAGGTCATTTACAGAATCAGAAATAGTACTACTTACCAGATTCTCAAGGGTATCTGTGGGAAATTGACTAAATTAGAATAGGCTTTTGGTTAAACAAGTCTGGTACAGTATCATATGTGGCTTTCAGTGGGAAGACAATGATTAAATACAGTAGCATTACAAATCTACAAATATGCTATTATTACTCTTCTCAGAAACAGCAAAGCAGTGTATTTCAGTTAATGCATCCCAAAAGCCTCTTTCAAAATGTTTTGCATGTGCCAATTACTAAAATTACAAAATAACATTGCAAGCTATTTCCATTAATACAAGCCTGGGAGCAAAACCAAAAAAGAAATTGGACGTATTGTCCCTTTTCCTCTATATGTATAATCTCCAATTTCTACTTATTTCAAGGATTCAGCATTCTTAATTTTTGTTTCTTTTTTCTTAAACCATATTAAAAATTTCAAATATGAGAAACTTAGCATAATCTGCGTGTGTGAGTTCTGGTTTTTACAGCTTGTGGGCATTGTCTTTCTCTTCTTATTCCCACCCCTACCCCATGTCATGCCACTATCTATATCTAGTCATGACTTCACTTTCATTTTTCTATAAGCTTGTGCAATTGGCTTATTTTCACTAATCATAATTAACATTAGCGGCATATGACACAATAAATAATGTTAATTTTAGATGAACATGGCAACAACAGTTCTCATGATAATTTTTGCAAAGAGAGGGGGAATTCAGAAATCTGTGGGAAAGCTATGTATGTTCTTGTTATATCTGAATGCAGCTAGAACATTGTAAAATACTACTTTTTATCAGTATATATTCAACATAATGCTGCATTACAGTTCATTTTTATGTCATGTATTTTCTATTGAATGCTGAAATTACACCAAATGCTTTTATAGGTACTATGGATTGTCTGTCTGGTTTCCAGATGTCATTAAGCAGCTGCAAGCAGATGAATATGCCAGTAGAGGGAAGAATTTTAGCAACAAGAGGATCGTGGACTTTGATTTCAACTTTACTCTGGAAAATCAGATCCATTTTAATGGGACATTCATCAATGACAAGTTGAGAAAAATAAATGATTCGCTGATTGTGCATTCTGCCTTTCTTCTAATGAGTTCAAGATACATATTTAGCACTTCCTCTCTTTCTCTACAATGGTTATGTGGGATGGGGTAGACTGAGAAGTAGTGATTTTAGTCCAAAGTTACTCACCAAGCTTATGCGCCTGAACCCACAGAATGTACTTGAATGTGGGTTTCCCAGGTTTTAGTTTAACACTCTAACTTCTCAATTATTACCAAATTACATCCCCCTTTTTGATTTTTAATTATTGTTATAATTGGTTTTGAAAATTTTGTGTCGTAATTGTACAACTTAAGAAGATCTCTTTTCTTGGTACTAAAAAACTTTTGGCTGAATTATCATGTTTTATATTTGACCACAACTGATTGAGAGAAGTTCAAATGAAAAGGCATTATGATTTGAGTATATAGAGTGTTGCCCAGTTCAGGATCACCTGGTCCCTCATACCAGTGTTCCGTTTTATGTTTCTTTATCTTTTTTCTTTTGGAGAGATAGGTATTAATATAGGTTAATGTTCTGCTTTTTTTTAGTTCACTCTTTTCCTTGTTTTAATAATTATAGCTAGCTCAAACTTCAGATCAGTAAGTATTACTAAACATTGTTTCAGATCATATTTTGGAGTAAACTTGGCTGATGATAACTATAGTGTGATTCAGCTATCACAACATCCAGTAGTTATGGAGGCTAGGGGAGATATGAAATGTCACAAGATAGAAAGAATGTGAACGCTTATATTTTCTGTCCTCCTAACCACTCAGAGTTTGAGCATGGAGAATTTAAACATATTACTACAAAAGACTGAACTTTCAGAAGATGATTTATATTTAGCCATACTATTATTTAATCATTTGAAAAATGCTTTCAATTAAACCTATTATTATCTGTCATGCTTTAAATCAGTACAGTAAATTCTTTGTTTTACTCAGGTTCACAATGATGACATTCAAAGCAGTTACTTTCCAAGACTCCCTTTTTAAGAACTGTTACTTTGAGGATGTTACTACGCTGAATACATATTTTAAAAACTGCACTTTTATACAGACTGTTTTCTTCAATTCAGGTATGTTTGGGGGGGGGAATACCACATTCTTTGGTACACCAAATCTTTCAACTGTTTGGTAGTTATTTCAATAGAGAAGAGAAGTTAAGCAGAACACTTTCTAAACTTTTTTCACCAGCTGTAGGGATGTCAAGTGCTTCTGGCTGAGCTTATTATCAGAAGGAACTAACTTTTTTAAAAATAAATTTGAAGAAGAAAGAGCGGGAATTTGGCTCCATGAATAATTTCTTCATCTCTTTGGCATGAAGGTCTTTCTGCCAAGGATGATTGGAAAGTAACTCAAACTTTCTGCTGGAATATGAGAAAGTTGAACTGGGCCAACTAACAATTAAACTTGTTTAGGCAGCCACTCAGAGAGACCTTTCAGGATTCCAAAGGCAAAATGAAGTCAACTTCCACACGATACCTTGGAGGTGCAGGGGGGTAGAGGATTGAGGAGAACGTGCTGTGCTTGGGATGTTTTCTGATCCAGGTTTATTCATTTTTCTTACGTGTTTTTGTTTAAGGCTAATCTCACTGGCAAGAACTACATCTGTATTGTTTGGGGGAGATAAGTTTTTTCCCCATTTTAAACTAAAATACCTTAATAGCTCTGATGTATGCATATCCTGTCATTTTGGCCTTCACCTAGCATTTCTGATTAATAATTACAATAGAGTTACAATACAGGTAGCCCTCAGCTTATGTGCATTCAGCAATCATTCAGTTACAGCATTGCTGAAAAAATGGACATACAATTAGTCTCTGAAGTTCCAGCTGCAGCAATGCCCTAAACTCAATGTTTGCAAACTGGGAGCCGTAATCACATGATTTCCATTTGCGATCTTTTCTGCTGGCTTCCCAGAAATGAATTCAATGGAGAAACCAACAAGGAATGTCCCAAGTCACTCTGGAAAGTCATTCCTTGTGCCGCATCCTCTGCCTTTAGCTCCGCTTTCTCTCCAAGTCTTTTACCGCCCTCCCCAACTTATGTACAGCCTGCTCTGGATCTCCCAAATCCTCCACTGGCCTTCCTCAATTCTTGTGCAGTCTGCACCAGGCCTTCCAAATCCTCCTCACATCTGCCTAGTGTGTAGCCTGCACCTGTCATATTTAATGTTTTTAGGTTCCCCCGCTTCTTTTCGTATTTTTAAATTATAAATAGTGGAGATTTTGGCAAATCCTTACTTGCATTGTTAAAACAATTTAATGTATTTAAATGTAATTTAATGATTTTTCTAATCAATGATACATTGAGCATTAACTCTACAATTTGTCATTTCTTTGTCCACTTCTGATATTACGTTTCTGTACCAATTATTATATCTCTTTTTTCTTGTTTGTTTGTGCTTTGTTTTTCTTTTTTAAATGATTAATACACTTAAAAAAACTACATTTGATGTAACAGAAGTTTGTTACCTTATTTATCAAGTGTTTATCTTTCTACCTGACAACAATAAAAATATTTTAAAAATAATTTTAAAATATTGTAAATATTAATTGTAAATATAATAAAAATATTAAAAAATAAACACACATAAAAATAATTTTAGTAGAAGATATTTATGTCCTGCTGGGGAAAAGGCATGTCTAATGCAACAATATGAAACTAAAAGTACATCATTAAAACATTAATATACTGCAATATTAATATACTGGACTGCTATACTAAACATTAATATTGGCCTTTTTATGCAATATGTAAAAGAACCTGGGTTTGAAATATATTACAACTTTCACAAATTTCTTCTATTTCCACAGATCTTGAGCCATATAAATACCCTGGTAGTGAATTTATAAATTGTACATTCTTTCACAATAAGTCAGGATGTCAAATTTCATATGATGATGATTACAGTGCCTACTGGATTTATTTTGTCAATTTTCTGGGGACTTTAGCAGTATTACCAGGAAATATTGTCTCAGCTCTTCTGATGGATCGAATTGGACGTTTAACAATGTTGGGTAGGAACTTCACTTTGAAATTGATTGTTTTCTTTAATTAAACATCCTTTTCACTCAAAATATTTACAAATAATCAAGCAAGGGGTGAGGGCCATATATAGAGAGTTGTTTCACCCACCCTACCCACTAGCTAGTTTTCAGTGCACCATCAGATACATAGAAGTAGATGGTGCAGTGATTATGTATTTTAAGGAAGGATGAATCATTGAGAGGCTTAATGCAGCCTTTCAATCCTTAAACCTCCCTAATCCTATTTTCTCCCCAAATGATAGTCTCTTTGCCACACAGCTTATAAAAAGAAAGGAAAAAAAGAAAATACCTCAAAGTTTGGCTCCCATTTAACAAAGCATTTCAGCCTCTTCTGTGATAGAAAGCAAGGGAAAAATCATTTTGCTTATCAAACTCACAAACCCCTGCTATAAATTCCCCCTTTTCCCCGAACTCTAGAGATAATGACAGGTGAAATTTTATATTTTATCATTTTTATCATGTAATCATGTGCAGAAGGAGGTTTGTTTTTGTGACAGTGCTGGCCCTTGGAGGGGAACATTTCTGAATCAAGATTTTCAGACAGATGATAAGAAAGCATAAGCTTCTCATAGTTCAAGATCAGAAATCTTAATACAGGGAATTACTAGCCAGTAGCAATTTTTTTTTCAGACTTTTAAAGAAATTTTGATAGTAGGAAACTTGCTACAATGAAAATTCCAAATTCAATTGAGTTCTTGTATGGACTTTCAACCTTCTTAATTCCATTTTAAGCTTTCCTTTCTTCCTGAATAGTGGAAGGCCTTAAGGACATGACCCTTAATGTATTATTCCGTCACCTCTGTCAGTGCCCACATCCAATGCTACTAGAAAGTCGTTGATCCTTACAGCTTCTTGGTTAAGTTACTAATGTTGACAAGATTATAATATTTGTTTTGTAAAGCCTTTTATCAGAAGCAATAGTAGCTATTAACATTTGGTTTCTGTGCAGGTGGTTCTATGATTCTTTCTGGAATTAGCTGCTTTTTCCTATGGTTTGGTACAAGTGGAGCCATGATGATAGGCATGCTGTGTCTATACAATGGCCTTACCATCTCAGCATGGAACTCTCTTGATGTTATTACTGTGGAGTTGTATCCTACAGATAGAAGGTATAGTTTTATATTCTTGCCATGCTTTATCTTCTTTTCAAAATGTAAGTCAGCTGGACATTTTTAAGATACACACTTAAAAGGTGAAAAAGGATAGGAAATAGACTGTTTTTATAATTGTGAATAATAAGGTCATAAAAATTGTGACTGCTACTGATCTGCACTAGGGCTATATTATTTAACTTCTGTCTGACTTCAAAATTGATCAGGAAGACTATGTTCTGTTTGTTTCTACTAATCTTGAGCTGTTTTAGAAACAATACATTAAAACTGAAAAGCATTAGGTGCAGATGAAATGCCTATTTTACCTCTTGGAAACTGCAGAAAGAAGTTAAAGTTCTAACAGTTCTATGTTACAAATATGGGGGGGAAAACCCATTACTGTCTTAAGGTTGGAAAAATACTTCTCCCAAATAAAGGAATGTAGATTATTGAATGAATTCTTTATGTATTCAGTTTTTCTTCAACAATTACAAAAATGAATTGATCCATAAATGCAGAGAAGCAGAAGGATTTGAAACTAAATAGCTAACAGAGATGAATAATAGAGCAAGAATATTACAAGATTTCATTTTATTTCACTGACAAAGCTTGTAAAAGTAGAATGGGGAATATATTAAAGCTAGTGGATATGCCAGAATATCTGATTATTCTTCTGAAGAATAATGAATAAAACACTGTTGGAAAACAATGAAATGATAGATAATTTTGTTTTCTTGCATTTTACATTATTTGCATAAAATAAACGTGCTAGGAAAACAAAGAGAAAATTAATCCAATGGTAAAAAGGCAATGAAAACCTTGGGATATTTCATGACAAAAAAAGATCCGTATAGTTAATGATCCTTCCAATGATAATATAATAAACAATTGTTAATTTATATGATACTTGTAAATCTGCATAAGCAACCTATTTTCTGTACTTTCCCCTCCCCACCTTTTCTTCTCATGTTTCCCACCAACTCACCATAAGTGCTACACTGCTCTACTCACTCTAGGTATCTGATGAAGTGAGCAGCAGTTCACAAAAGTTTGTCCTCTTTCAGTTAACTTGTTAGTTGGAAAAAATACTGTGAGACTCCTGATTTTTTGCCAATACGGTTTATTATGGTTCTTTTCCTACAATGTTATTAAACCTGGTTTATTTGTTAAGTGCTGTTGAGTCTGGCCTTTGACCACTGCTTGTCATCTCAATCTGTCCCCAACAGTGACATAGTTCTTCAAAGGACATTCCGATAATCATTTTAATCTCATGTATTCATCTTATTTATAATTTGTTTTTCTATATCAGGAGTAATACTTTTTCTAGTTCATCTTATGCTCAGGAACATACACAAATTTTATGATGTTTTGCTTGCTGATCATTGTCTCAAGAGTTGCATCAACCTTTGATCTAAAACTGACTAGATCCTTGATAATGTCTCTAAAAATCATAATTTGGAAGGCATGTAATTCTTTGTCATTTTAGGGTCTATTTTTCATAGCTAGAAGTATCTCTTTGAAGTCAATTACTTTAGTAATTAGTTGTAATCTTTTTTATCATTTCAGTATTGCTGACTTTTGTGATTTTTGCCCAAGGTTTTGTAAGTGAAGTGAGTCTCATGATTTTCACCTTCATTCCAAGTCAGCAGTTTTATATCTGTCAAACATTCAAGGACTACCTATATGCTTTTAAAAATCCATATGGTCCTTGCTTCTTGGGATTGACAGCTATATAGAGCCTGATGCTTATTTTTAATGTAGAGATATTTTTTATGAGATTGCTACTTTTTTTTCTGTGTGCCGTTCTGGCCTCCTCAAAGAACAATATGCAAATAAATAAACCAAATAAATGTTTGTCTGTTACTTCCAATTTAGTCCAAGAGAATGGGGAAGTATGGGATCCTATGGATCCATAGCGACCCATCTTCATCCAGTGTTGAAGAATTATAGAAGAAATGTACCCTTTTAGACATCCAACAAAAAAATTATATGGCTCTGGGTTCTCCTTCAAGATTATTGAATTGCAGCCTAAACAATTTCCTTTTAAGGAATTCTTTCCTTTGTTTGCTGTTTATGAACTGTTGCACCCCTTATTTAATTTTGTCAGAAAATATGTGATTTAATACAATTTGCAGACATTGGGACAACAAGTTTTTACTGCCACCCTGTGGAATGAATATCACAATATTCAGTTAAGTTCACCCATCCTGTCTCCCCCTAGCCAGAGTATTGCTGTTCTCACTGTTGTCTTTATTTTAGGGTGTGGCAGTGGGGGTGAGGTGTTCATTAAATCAAGCCCTCAAAAATTGCATCCTTGCATGAGACACACTCTAGAAAGGCATCCCACAGACATTCCTGACATTGTTATTTCTCATGAGGTGCATATGAAATCTTGTCAGACTAGCTAATTATGTGTTGAAAACTTCATCTCCTTCGTTATATCTCATGTCTTCTCCCATTTTCTTGGGAGGCTTTATAAAACTGTAGCTCTGAAATTGCCTGGTTTCCTTATTTTCTACCTTCATGGCTACAGACTAGAAGTACTATTCACACCATACCTCACTGTAATTTTTGCTCTCCTTTTTGTAATGAATGATGGTAATTACAATTTTTCCTGCCTGGATAGGCAGGATGTATAATTTAATCCTGGTTAGCTGCCCACTGCTACCCCTAATCTTTCTTAGATGTCTTACTATATAGGCTACCTCATTATATTTTGCTTCAGATAAAATCTCAGGAAAGATGTATATGTAATATAATCTTAATTATTTCAATCTCTGTTCAGAGTTGCACGCTGCAAGAACCTATTTCGTATAAACGCAGCAGGTGCAGCCTTTCTTCATGCTATAAAATACAAACAAAAATGTAGAATAGGTATCTTTTCTCTGATGACACTTTTAGAATAAGTTACAGATAATCCTCAATTTACAACAATTCATTTAGTGACCGTTCAAAGTTACAACAGCACTGAAAAAAGTGATTTATGACCATTTCTCACCCTTACGATCGTTGCAGCATTCCAGTGGTCACATGATCAAAATTAAGATGCTTGGCAATTGGCTCCTATTTATAATGGTTGCAGTGTCCTGGGATCATGTGATCAGCTTTTGCAATCTTCTGACAAGCAATGGGGAAGCTAGATTCACTTAACAACCACATTACTAACTTAAAAACTGCAGTGACTAGAAATATTGTAAAATGGGACAAAAACTCACTTAACAAATGTCTCACTTAACAATATAAATTTTGGGCTCAATTGTGGTCAGAAGTCAAGGACCACCTGTATTTATGTAGATTAGATAATGTAAACTCAACCTGAAATAAAAATTGATTCTAACAGTGATACATTCCACAGATGGCTATCTGTTTATGACAACATCATGGTTTCTATCAAACACCTATGACCCAGTGACTGGTTTTGAAATTGTTACAAGCCATGATAAAGTTTGACTTTGGATTTTGTATGAACCAAATGACAAACCTTATAATTAAGTAAACCTGTGGCTTATTTTTTTCAAGTTTCTCAGTCAGCTTCCAAGACAGAAGTTGCTACTAACTATCAAAGTCTGTCTTTTAAGTGTAAACAAAGGTGCTCTCAAATAAAAGCCAATTCCTAGTGATTGGATCCATGCAATTTTATTGCTAACTTAAAAGAGGCTGGTTGCCATTATATTTCTAACACAATGTTTCCCAGCTTCCCTATTTCACTTATAGTTTTGCAATTCACAGATGGCCCCTATCCAAGAATTAAAATATTTATTCAGAGTGAATACAACCTAGAGTTGAGGCTATTCAACTTATCCCATTTTTTTTTACCTGAGATTTTGAACCATATACTCAATGGACAGTCACTCAATGGACTGGCGCTATGTTCAACAGCATCAAATTGATCACTGAAACTGTTAAGAAGAACCGTAAAGTTTCTTATACTTGTAATCTTAAATCTTAATCCATTCCTATTAGCTTTAGTACGAGTTCTTCATAGGAGATTATCATGGAATACCAGGACCTTACATTAAATTGAGAATTTAAATCCCCAAAGATACCATGGTCAAGAAAACTGTGTAAAGTTACACACTCAGCCCAAATATTTTATTTATTTGATTTCATAGTTATAAAAAGATAAACTTATTTTTGCAAAATGCAAATATTTGACTACCTAAAATTTATAGTAAGCTAACAAAATGCCCAAAAGGACATTATTTAAATTGCATGCATGGTTATGCCATATTATCACAAGGAGAAACTTTTTTCTCACAGATATGCAAATTACCAAACTAGTTCTACTAAATATGTCATCTGCATTTGTCAACATGTATTTAAGGGTGTCAAACCAGCTGCATTCTCTCCCCCTACTCCATGCAATTACTTCAAGTTCTTCAAGCACAGGCCTTCTGGCATTTAAATTTGCCTTACCGTCTTGTAACCCATATTTGTGTTGGCAATTAAGCACACAGACATTTTTGTGGACCTCTATAAAACAATGCTGCTGTTTTGTTGTTTAAGAGCACATATTTGTTTCTGTTTCCCAAGGGTTTGTACATTGCCCCATTATCTCAAACTGGTTTTTCAGAGTATGAAATAATATAGAAACCTCTGAACAAACAGAACTGATTTGGATGCAGTCTCATAAGCATCTTCATAAAGTACCTTATTAGTTGGGTCTCCTGAAGGCAGTTTCTGTTTCTCATAATATTATTTATCTGATCATGTCTAAAACCTGTGGCCCTGAGGCAGTTGAAATTTATAGACCTTTGCAAGCAATTTGTTCAAAATTCTGGCAAAAGTAATTTGTCTCAGTCTTGATGGCCTACTGGGCAGAGAGGACAAACGAGCAGGAGAAGCCAGAAAAAGGACTTCTGTTTGATGTGGAATTGGGGAAATAAAATAAAAAATAGTTTCAAGAATAACCTGGCTCAAAACACACCAACCTTAAGTTTTGTACTGATTTTAAGAGAAGATAATCAAATGTTAGAAAGTCTCACCTTTGAGACATGATGTAGCAATTATTCAAATATACAGTACATTTAATTACTATCTCTCTCTATATTACGGTAATAATTACTTAACTATAATTATTTTCATTATAGAATTATATTTCTATAATCTATCATATAAACCTGGGAGAGAAATGTTATTCAAAATAGAGTATTCAGAAGGATCCTCCTGTGTTTCCATAGTGATGCACTCCCAACCTTCTATGCTGCTTCATAATTTCTAGTTTGTATATGCTATTATATAGGCTGCAGCTCTTCGATGCGTATTGATACCTATTATCTATTGTTCCTAGTGTGTGTAGATATCACAGATTTACCATGGGTTACAAAAGACCTTTTTATATAAGAATTGTTCCTATCATGAAATTGTAATGCACTCAGTGTCCTTCCATTTTTGCAAGAAAGAACTAAGGAACTTTTAGATCAGCCTCTTTCTTTAACCTGGCATGCCCACAAACGTACAGCTGGGCTGGCTGAATTCTGAAAATTGACATTCATCTGTCCAGAGGGTGAACAAGTGGAGGAAAACTGATTTAGATTCAGACAGGTACATTACTTTATGACCTATGATTAAATTATGTGATTACAGGTAGTTCTCGACTTAACAATCCTTCATTTAGCAACCATTTGAAGTTACAATGGCACTGAAAAAAGTGACTTACACGTGATCCTCACACTTACGACCATTGCAGCAACCCCATAGTCATATGATCAGAATTTGGGCACTTGGCAAGTATTTATGACAGTTGCGGCATCCAGGATCATATGATCTCCATTTGTGGCCTTCCTAGCTATTTTTAACAGGCAAGGTCTATGGGGAAAACTGGATTCGCTTAATGAAAGCATGATTCACTTAACAAACTGCAGCAATTTGCTTATCAACTCTGGCAAAAATAAGGTTGTAAAATTGGGCACAAATCACATCTGCCTTGCTTAACAATTGAAAGTCTGGTCCAATTGTAGTCATACTTTTAGAACTACCTGTACTGTACTATATTGAGTGTCCAATCCGAGTCAATCCAGCAGTTTTGTTTTCCGAGCTTTCGGACTCACACTGGAGCCCATCTTCAGGGAACTTCTTTCTAGCAGAGTGTCTATTCTATTGAGTTTTTAGCTTGGGAAGCAAAATTGTTCAAGTAGCCTTAACTTGAGGATTGCAGATTGCTAACTAATCAGGCCTCATTCATACTTTACCTTGAAATATCATTGCATATCTTAATATAAAAAACAATGTTATTATTTTCCCAAAGGTGCTTTTTCAAGAGGCAGCTGGGCTTTCTGGTTTTTCTTTGAAGAGGTTTTGCTTCTCATCAAAGAAGCTTTTTCAGCTGACTGGATGGTGGGGAATGGAAGGATTTATACTCCTTGCAGATAGCTGGTCATCTGCATTCTTTTAGTGAGTTGTTAAGGTCACCTGGAGGTCAGAGCTGAAAAAGCTTCTTGAATGAGAAACAAAACGTCTTCAAAGAAAAACCAGAAAGTTCAGTTGCCTCTTGAAAAACACCTTTGGAACAACCATGCCTGGATGACTGAGAATCTCCGTAGACAATGCTATTTTTTGATTTTTTAAAATTTATATACAAATTTATTATTTGTATAAATAATTCAAAGTGGTGAACATATTCAGTTCTCCTATTTTCCCCACAACATCTCTCTTGGGCTGAGAGAAGCCCACAGTCAACTGGCTTTCACTTGTTGCTTCCATTTCTACTCTGGGTAAAACATGAGACTGAATAACTAGTTAATTATTAGTCAAGTGCAATTTCATGCATCATTGACTAACACTTTTTCTAATACCAGAACTGTTAGACACCAGAATGGCAAAATGTTTCTAATAGTGGTACCGCATTAGTAGAATTCCTTCCCCGTAGAAGCCTGTCAGACATCAACACAATTTCTTTTAGATACTAGCAAAATTGTAGTGTCAAAATGCTATTCTTCCCAATCTTATTTCTTCTCTTTTAATATTTTGTTCTAGAATTCATCATTCTTGATCGTTTTTAAACAACTGATGAACGGCATATGGTCTTTATTTTGATTTAAAATGTGCTGATTATTTTTTTTCCAGAAGTAAACACATTTATAGTAACATGAATTGACATGTTTAGATTCATGTATAGAATATGTTGAATATGCATTATTCTGGAAGGCCACGTCCAGTAATTCAATAGTGTTTTATCTTCTGTCTATCTTTTAAAGAAATAAATACATGTGTATTCTTATACAGATTTAAAAAATCTTTTAAAATCAAGGTCAAATTCAGATGACATATTATTGCCATTGTTATTGTATATATGTGTATTTTCTGTATATTAATTCTAATCTATTTTCCTCTTTTTCAGGGCAACTGGCTTTGGCTTTTTAAACGCACTCTGCAAAGCAGCAGCTGTTCTTGGAAACTTAATATTTGGTTCTTTCGTTGCCATTGCCAAATCAATACCTATTTTGTTGGCTTCAACAGTTTTAGTGTGTGGAGGTTTGGTAGGACTTCGACTTCCTGACACCAGAAGCCAAGTACTGATGTAATTTGAGATGGGTGGTGGATAAAAAAAAAGCCATTTATTTGCTTTCCTGTTTCTAAGTGTCATTTCTTGGATGGATGGGAGTAGGCTTCAGATTGTTGGTTCAAGGAAAGTAATTGCATAGAGAAGTTCTACCCTCAAAATGAAACCACAGCAACAAAAAATTAAGAGAAACACAAGAAAGGGGAAAGAAAAGTGAATTCAGTGGAGCCATTTGTCCCAGTATTGTGTATCTCATCAGTCCAATCCTGTTAAGTTCACATCTGTAAAATTCCAATGACTGGAGTCTACATGTGTCATTCCCTCACAGAGACAGACCTTTGCAGATAAAAACTGTGGAGGAACCTGTATGTATGTAGACACCCAAATTACATTTTTGAGAAAGGAGAAAGATGAAAATTGTGGACTGGAACTGGTGGGAATATAAGATATCAGGGGCAAAAAAAATGGCCATTGACAACCTACCCCTCAGTTCATTTAATGAGTGCATAGAGATGTTTTTGAAGACAGTTGCTATTAAAACCAAAACAAGTATAACCCCTATAGCAGAGAGGGCTGGCCAGGCATGCATCACTGCAGGGCAGCTTGGCTGCCCCCAATCTGGCACGTGGTGGAATGGGGCCACCTGAGCCACCCTGAGCCTTTGGGGCTGCCCGAGCACTGCGCAGTCACCGCACATGGGAGGAAGGGACATAGGGACCTGGACTCTTGCACTTTCTGGGATAGGGTTATATCTCTTTCATTTCATGCTGAAAGAATAGTTGATAAAGCTTGCATAGTAGCTTCTATGAATATCCTACCTCTAAATTAAGGTTTCAAATTAAATTAAGAAAAAAGAATAAAAATAATAGCCATTTCATAGAAACCTATATTTTTTCATAGAGATCATCTCTGTGTAGGAAAATGGGTTTCCAAGCCATTTCTGAAAAGCGCTTTTGTTTTGGTTGATGAAAAATAGGGTTCTAACACAAATATTAAATCTAAAACAGCTTCTAGTCATTTGTGAATTTAAATAAATTGCAGCAAGGAAAGCAGCACATCCTTCTAATGCTTATTATAGTCACACAAATTAATACTATATTTTAAAAATTAGATTAATATAAACATCTAGCCCTTTCTTAGGAATAAATGTTAATCTAACAAAACTGTCTCCAGAACTACTCCTTGTAGCCAAATTTGCATATAAATATGGACAGATTAGGTAAAGTTGATCTAACACATATTATGAGACAAATTAGATTAAACGATATAATGATACTTGAGCACTAATTTCCTATATTCTTAACAGAAAAAGACAAAAACCATGGCATTGTTTCTTTTGCAAACCACTATAGGAACAATACACACATATACACAAAGATTTAGGCATGCAAAACCCTAGCCTGTTGTAACTGAATTTGTTTAAGATGAAAATAATAATAATACCAGTGTGAGCCAGCAGTATGCTGCAGCTGCCAAAAAAAGCCAATGCAGTCCTAGGCTGCATCAACCGAGGGATAGTGAAGTGTTGTGTGAAGTGAAGTGATAGTGCCACTTTATATCACAATTGGAGTACTGCATCCAGTTTTGATCATCATGATAAAAAAAAGATGTTGAGACTCTAAAAGTGCAGAGAAGAGCAAGAAAAATGATTAAGGGACTTGAGGTTAAAGCACGGAACTGGGTATGTCTAGTCTAACAAAAGAAGGAGTAAGGGTAACATAATAGCAGTTTTCCAATATTTAAAGGACTGTCATATGGAAGAGGGGGGTTTACCTATCCTTCAAAACACCTGAGAACAGGACAAGAAGTAATGGAAGCTTATCAAAGAGAAATCCACCCTAGAATTAAGGAAAAATTACCTGACAGTGAGAATACTTAATCAGTGGAACTACTTGCCTCTAGAAGTTGTGGAGGTTCCATCATTGGAGGTTTTTTAAGAAGAGATTGGACAGTCATTTGTCTGGAATGGTATAAGGTCTCTTGCTTAAGCAGGGGGTTGGACAAGACGACCTCCAAGGTCCCTTCCAGTAATTATAGTATGGGAAAATAATGCCCCTCTTTTGTTCTGATAAAATGTGTGTGTGTGTAATATTTTAGCCTAGTAGAACAGGATCTTGGCTAAGTAGAAAGCGCAGCCCAGCATATCTTAGAATCAGGAAAGGTCAGTTCAGACCTTGAAGTCCAATCTCCTGCTCAGTGCAAATATTCAAATTAAAGCAAGTGAAAAAGATAGCTGACCAGCTAACTAAGACATTTCTTTCAACCCCCTTTAAGAGTATTGATTTACAACTTCTATAATCTTAAAATCAATTTGCCATGCTATTTGGGAATTATGATAATTATAGTTCAGTACACTTGAAGGGAGACTTGTCAGGGAAAGCTAATTGTAGGGCTGTCTTTATATGGCCTGATAGTCATACCTACATTTTGATAAAAGTGTTTTAAGTAGACTGAACCAGTAACAGCGAGGTAATGGTATAGATATATCCCATTGGGGGGGAAAAATCCTATGTATCCTTACATACATACATAGACTTGCACCATAATTTAATACACTTATCTTTCCTCTAAATTCTGACTCATTTTCTCCCCCAAAGAAATACATTAAGGTCAACCAGGAAAAGTAGACATGCCTTAACTATGTACATCCTGAAAAGATTTAGGCTAACTGCTTTTTCTCTGTGTGTGATCTATAGTATTATGTTTTAAATTGTTTTTCAGTATAGATATTTGTGTTCTAATACTGATTTAAGCCAAGAATCCATACTAATTGTGTCCTAAGTTTGTAGAAAATCTTGACATTGTTAATGAATTTTGTAATTATTGTCAGTTCAATATAGCTCTTAATATTTTTCTTTTGTAATTTGGCTAACCTTTTGTAGTCCTTTAATCTTTTAACAGCTTTCCTTTCATTCAGAGGGAAGAAACTTTTAAATCTGTGTTGCCTTTAGGGGACATTTAATACTTCTAGGTATGAAATCTGAAGCCTTGTACAGATTGGGAGTAATAATGAGTCACCAGCTGTAAACCATGCTTTTGATATGCACTGTCCGTATAAATGACATGTTTTGTCTGCTTCCTTCATGAATGTAATCACTTCAAATTCTGGAGCCATAACTAAGCTTTAGAAGGAAACCCAAACACCAGCTCCAGAGTAAGGCCAACATAATAAAATTTCATTATAGTTATAGTCATGTTACTTTTTCAGACTCTAATAATATTTTGACTCCAGATTACATTCTCATTAAGGATGTAAGCTTGGCCAAATTCAGGATACAACCTTGGCAAGATCTAGGCAAAAAGAGAAAGTACACTTTGAAGATTAAAAGGAGGAAGTGCACAAAAATAACCAAAGACATCTGTATTCATCTTGTCTGAAATATATAACCTGTAATACTTGTAAATCCTTTTGTGTCTGTGACTGCATTTCTCCACTTCCCTATTTAAATAGGGAATAGCAGGGTCTAAAAAGCATCAAAGACAGTGCAAAGATACAATGGGATGTGACAGAAAGAAAGTTCTGAAAAAAGTTTACTAAAAAAGAATATACTACAGCACAATAGAGTTGTAAACAAATGCAACCTACGCAAATGACAGGCTGTGGCTAAGATTTATTTATTTACTTACTTAATAGACCACCCAACTCCATTGTGATGTTGCCGATGTTTGATTACTTATATTAATCCTCTAATGATCAAAATGCCATATATGTAAAATAAATTTGCTTGAACTGTGTTACCACTTTTCATGTAGTGCTTAACTAACTTTCAATTCAAAAAGGAAGAGATAAAACTGTGGACATCTCTTTGTCGGTTCTTAGGTCACATGTGCTATCCCTCTCACCGTATCTTGAGATAACTTCAAATACTGTAAACACATAGGGGAGAAGATAAGAAATATTCGCTACTTTTCTTTTTCCTGTCTTGCACAGAAGGTCAACAAATAGTGAATCTTTACTTGCAGTGAAACAAAGATTCAAGAGGACGTGATATGCTCTACTACATGGCAGGTTTATCAGGTGTTGGTTTCTGTGAATGTGGGAAGAGAATTGTCTGATTTGCTCTCCTCCAGACTGTCCTGAACATGAGAAAATATTGTCAGAAGCAAACCCCATGTGCAAGACTAAAGTTGACTAAAATCAATTGACTTAAAATGTCAGTTTAAGAAACTGCTTTCTGCCCTTCGTACATGTGTGCTAAGAAAATATGGGGAAAGTATGGGATACTTTAGACCAGGGGTGTCAAACTCAAGGCCTGTGGGCCGGATCTGGCCCAAGGGGTGCTTAGATCTGACCTGTGGGGATGCACTGGAAACACTGAAGGACCAGCCCGTGGTGCCTCTGCCAGTGAGAATGGAGCACGGGAGAGCTGCTTCGTTTTCGGCTGCAATGGCCTCCTGTAGCCCTCTGCCAGCAAAAATGGAGCTCGGGGAGGCCTCCCCAGGCTCCATTTTTGCTGGCAAAGGGCTGCAGGAGACTGTTGCAGCCTAAAACGAGTGACATTGAACTGGCCACAACCCTCCCAAGGTTAAACACAACCCTGCTGCAGCCCTCAATGAAATCAAGTTTGACACCCCTGCTGTAGACTGCACATCTGAAATGTGTTTCTAGATTTGAACAGAGCAATGTTGCATTGACATAATAGTTTCAAATCCCAACTTCCAGTCATCCCAATATGCACAGTTAAATATTCAGTCATAGGTATTTCTTTTTGTGCACTTTGAACCCCTTGGCTTTGAAACAGTACCAAACTGTTGTGGTAAGGTGATTCAAGATGGCCAATAATGTGTTTCCTAGATGTGGATCCTGTTCTGTGTCAATTAGAGCACGTTTCCATGATTAAAGCTGAAACTGTAGTTCTTCCTTTTATCCATCCAAGAACTATCTCCGCTATCATTTGTAACTTAATGTGAGTCATGTAAATGTGGCTGCCCCACTCCCCAATGCTCATTTCAGAATCGGTGTATGTACCTAGTTGTGCATATCTAACACATCTCTTTTTCTAGTAAATGTTTTAAAGTAGATCTGGGTTTGAAAAATTGCAGGATATGCAAAGAGAGCTGCTATTCTCAAAGAGTGGGGAGCAGGATGGGGCTGAGGGAATCAGCATTTTTCTCTGAACTTCCTGTCTTCCTGTTAAACCAACCTCGTTATCAAAACGTAGGCCCTTGCTTCATATTAATAACGTCTGTTACTATCAGGCAGGAAACACAGCAGGAAGCACTGCTGCATACTCACCAGTGGTTCTTGAATGTTTCTTCTTTGTGATTTCTGTATCCTTTTAAATAGCAGGACACAGAAACATTTGATATGTGCCACTGATACCTATACTGACCTGTTTAGAAGTTCAGGCAGAAGCTATGATGGTGCTAATAGTCTCTGTCCCATGTCACTTGATAACCACATCTTTCCATCTTGAAGCTAAGTTCTGTACAACTAACACCACTAATCTGTTTACTATGCACAGGATGGACCTAAAAGCCAGTGAATGTGGCTGGCAGCTTTAAAACAAATGTCATACATAACTGCAAACGGTATTTCTAAATTGTGCTCTGTGATTATGGCATGGATTTGGCAAAAATGAGGTGTGGAAACGTATATAATTAAACACCCACGTGCAAGACCTAGGCTTCAAATTGCTTTTTAACCCCAACTGAAGATCATCACACTAATTTTGAGTGTGCCATAGACCTACAGTATCGCACTTGCATATTTTTCTGCTTTATAATAATTCATAACTCAGCATTTGCTGTTTTTTTGCTGAGCTATTAACATTTGCTGAATTGTTTAGTTAGCTTCGTTTACCCAGTGAGTTCAGAATTTTTTTTCTGTTTTTCCTTTAATCTGATTGAGGCACTAAATATGTGTAATGCCAAGTCTTTCACTTCCAATATCACTCTAATACCAGTATCCCTCTGATTTTGCTCCCTCTTCATTATTTCAATTTTCTGTATCCACGCATGGATACTTTCCTCAAGCCCTCCAGATAGTTTATAAGTACAACTCCTAGCTGTGTGCTAATAAGGGAAGACTAGAAAAAAGCTATATGTATCAAGTGGTTGAACAATTATGGCAGAAAAGTATATTCCCTGTTTATTATAGAGAAAAGAGCTCTTTTAATCTAGATTTACTGCAGCAACAGGTATAAAAATAGCACATTCTGAGGCAGTGTTTCTCAACCTTGGCAATTTTAAATGTGTGGACTTGAAGTTTTAAGACAATTTTTTCCACTGCTTTAGAACATATGTTTTATTCTCTCTGCAAGACTTCCTTGGTGCAATGGTTCAGAAATGAGGGTAGGTGGATTTGTGGTTGCCACAGTATTTGTAGCCTGAATAAGATTTGAACCAGGGAAAGGTGAGATGCCCATTAGTGAATGCATTTTTCCTAGTAATTCAGTTAGCTTTGAGAGCAATACTGTTTCCATTTTGATTGGCCCTCCTCATTTCGTTGCAGATATTTTGGACTGGGACCTGACAGTGGTAGAATATATTGATGGATCCGTTCATTACCCATTTATTTGAATGCCTAGCTTTTAGATGTTTTCTGTTTTTTGCCTATGGTCTATGATGTCATATTCTTCCATTTGAATGTATGATTACTGTAAGTAATGGGGAAGGGTGGCTATTAAATTTTTTAGTATTGGTTCTTCATTGCACTTTTGGGTTACTTATTTTCTTGATGGGGTTGGTCACCCATAACAAAAACACCGACCCACATCTACAACGAACAAATGGGAAAAGCCAATTGAAGTGAAGGTAACACCTCCCCCAACAATTTCAACACCTCCCAGAAGACCTTTAATTGCTAATCAGTCCTAAATTCAAATTTTACAGAGATTACAAATATTTTAACACACACACACACACACACACACACACCAGAAAATGTTGCACAGAAGAAGCCCCACAGACTAATGAGATGAAATGTCTCCAGAAAAGCTGATTCATGCTTCAGTATTGCTCTTCTGAAGTTTGGAAAACCTGAAAACAAAGTATGTAGCTATTTGAGAACTTTAAAACCTGTCTTGGATCTTTCCAAGTCAAATATAGGTAAGTGTATTTTATCTTACAATTGAAACATGTATTTAAGACTGCAATTTAATGGAAAAAGAGCACTCTAATGGAATATTTGGCCTCAAATGTCTCTCTACAAGCCTCAGAGACCATTACCTTTTATTGAATTCTGGTGCTGGAAAAAGCAAAAGGAGTACAGATTCTTAAGTTTGCTGTGAATAGATGAGAGTCCTCCAGTCCCTAGATGCTCCTAAGATAAAGAAAAATGTTACTTCTAGAACTGGTGTATATAGTCATCTCACTGGTCCCAAAGATATTTTTTTGAATGGTAGAGAAAAGTAATACTAACTTGTTCTGATATATTGGGGCTTAATTGCTCTAATAGTAAAATTGCTCTATAATATTAAGGTTCTCCAACTTGAGGCCCTTCAAGGTGTGTCAGACTTAATTCCTAAAATTTCCAAACAGTATAGATATTGGACTTAGGAAGGCAGACCAATAAATAGCCCTGAGAATAAATGTCCCTGGATTTTTCTATCATTCTTAGGAGGCATGCACCATTAATTTTTTACATGATATGTGAAATTGGAATAAAATTGCTGGCATACCTATGAAAAAAACAAAATTGAAACAAGAAAAATAGGTATTGGGAATATATTATTTTCTCTTTTTTTATAAAACAAGTTTCAACAAAAGATAAGAGATAAGGAAATAGAAAAAAGGGATTTGGAAAAAAAATCAGAAAAAGTGCAGGAAAAAAATTGGAAAAAATAACTTTCTACAGCTCAGATACAAATCTAGAGTACATTAACCTCTTGCTCCAAAATTAATAATAAACATTCTGTAATCATAAACCATTTTAACTGTTGATTCCCAAAACTAAAGTTTAATTTCTTTCAGTTTCAGGCAAAAAATCCAGAATGATTTCCAAGTAGAAACAAAGATGAACAAACTTAAGTATATTTTTATTCAAAATAGTTTTGCAATTACAACCAATTCCATCAACTTCACCATTCCTCCATAGTAGCAATTTCTGCATACAGAAGTCTTGCTGCTGTTATATGTAGAAACAAAGTACCATGTTTTCTTTTAATCTGTTTATCCATCAAGCCTAAAAAGAAAACACCTGGTTTCAATTGTACATTTATTTTGTAAATAAATGTGTCACCCAAATGTTAAATCATGTTCACCCAACTTCAATAACCTCCTATTTCTCAAAGTCACCTGGTCTTTCATCCATATCAGATAACAAGGAGCAAAATACAGTTTTCAGTCAGATAATCTTAGCCCCTCTCGGGAATATACTGTATATTTCTAATTTATGTGTCAAGTCTTTTTAATAATAAATCCACATACCATGAAAAAAATATCAATTGATCTTCAACAAACAGATGATGGCTTTAGAGTGTTATAAAGAGCTTGGATATTTTGGTTTCCTAATTAATTGCAATATATGTATAGTATATATATAGGTAATCTTGGATTTACAACCACAATTGAGCCCAAAATTTACGTTGTTAAGCAAGACAGTTGTTAAGTGAGTTTTACCCCATTTTTATGGCTTTTTGCCATGGTTAAACAAACCACTACAGTTGCTGTTAGTAAACAATTGTTAAGTTTAATCTGGCTTTTCCATTGGCTTGTCAGAAGGTCACCAAAGGTGATTACATGACAAACCTGTTTTAATTGTTGGGCAATGGTGTGGTGAACATATTCTTTCTACAATCATGTATGTTTTATAAAACACTTGCTCTGATTTCTAAGCTTTCACTCTCAAAAGCTAGGAAATAATTCCTAAATTTAGGATGAATCTTGGTTGTCTGGCGGATCTCCCAGTAACAGTTTTGGCAATAGAAACAGTCGTTCAGGGAACATTTTAACAAAAGAAGGGTTATGTAAATTGGCTAAGAGCCAAAAGAAGGTCATCTGTTATTATATGACACAAGACCCTTAAGGGAACTTTGCTGATTCATGTGATGGGTAAATACATTTATCACAGGCAATGCAGGCACATTTTATCCATATCAGATAGGACTTTTACCATGCATCAGTAACTTCAGTCCCTCCATTTCTATACTTTGAAAACAGTTTATTTTTGGAATCTATAATTTCTCTCCCTACCCCACCCCAGTGATTAACCATATCTCATAAAATGATGTAATAAATCCCAATTAAAACTGGTAACTGTCAACATGGTGAACTATAGAATAAGGTTTTGTTGTCTTAAAAATAGAGTGGTTGGAGATAGATAATGCTTCTATAATGCATTAACATTCCAGTTCCATCTCAGCAGTCAGAAAGTTCTTACTCAGACTTTCCCACCTGGCCGTTCCAGGTTATATCTGATCATGATATCTAGAATTTTCAGGGCCCAGTTGACTTAGAATCTGGGCAGCAAATTGGAGAAGACTGTCTTCTTACCATGCCCCATGATATCCATCTTTCTAGAGGAATCAGTAGCTATAATTTTTAGTAACTATCGGAGCAGAGTGGGGGCATTCAGGGGAGCAAATGGGTAACAGCTTTGAGGTGAAAAGTGCACTGAGGTGGGAAGTGCATTGATGATGGAATTAGTCCAACTTGTATTATGATATTAAGCTATTTCAGGGCCCCAATTGTACAGTAGACTGTACAATTGGGGCCCTGAAATAGCTTAATATCATAATATTGACAAATATTATATGGAGAAATTTGATGGAGAAATCAAATGTCCATGTTTATACACTTTGGATAGGATTAATTGTAAGGCTATTTTCTCTATTAACAGTTGTCCAAATGCATTGTGATTGCAACTCATTGGAATGTGGAAGTTTTAATCCCAAGCTGTTTAAATGCTAGACAAGATTTCTAAATACATTTTGCAGATGTTAGGACAGAAGTACACCAAGTGAAGAATAGGATGAAAAGACAAGGCATTGAATATCACAGTCTTCCAACTAATATGAGTGGAAAAATATTTTGCAAAATTATCTTAATTTACAGAACTTACTTTTTCTTGTCCTGCCCTGTAGACATCTTTTTAAAAATCCCAGAAACAGAGGGAAAGGTTCTTCACACTGCAAATCTGGATTTACTTCTGCAAAGATCACCATCATTTTTTCTGGATTTAGCACTCATTGTATATCTGTGTTTGTATGGACGTACATAAACATAACTTGTCTAGGCATTAATCAATTGTCACTTTCAAATTTCTGAAGTTATTTTAAGTGCAAGTGATAAACTGGTGATCTTCTAATATGCATCTTTGACTTGGATAGTATACGTACCATTCATGCATGCATACATACATTTATTTATTTATTTTTATTTGTCAATTGCTTACAAGATAATAGGTATAAGTAAAAACATAGTTATGAATACATGGATACATATAAGAAAAATAAATATAAATATAAAAGAAACAATAGGACAGGGATGGTAGGCACGTTGGTGTGCTTATGCAGACCTCTTAGGAAAGGGGTGAGGTCAATAGTAGACAGTCTAAGGTTAAAGTTTTTGGGGTTTGGGGAAAAAACCACAGAGTCAGGTAGAGTATTCCAGACATTGACCACTCTGTTACATACATACATATATACATGCATGCATGCATGCATGCATGCATACATACATACATACATACATACCCATTTTGCTTCTTCCTAATGGAATAAGTACTGGTTATGAAGGACACAGAAAATGAGTTTGGAACAAAAAGTCAAAAGTATTAAACATAGGTGATAAGAAGAAAAGGAAACCTAGTTTAGCCCAATTTACATTTATGTCACTCACTATACCTTGCAAATCATTCTTCCTCCTACCACATCCACACACTGCTTCTTACATTGTCTTTGTATTTTTTAGGATCTCATCATCTAAACATGATTTTCTTAGTCTTCTCCTTTATCTTGGCCTATTTATTATTACCTGTTCAGAACAATGTGAAGTCACAGTTGCTAATTCTTTAGCTGACATTGGCCTTCATATGCATCATGTTCTTCTCAAGAACCTAGCCTAGGATGTTATAATGTATTGACAAGTGTATATGTGGATCCAAGCAGTGTAGCCTTTAATCAAGCATATTATTCCAATCATCGGTCACATATGCAGTTTTCACACTCATATTAAACATTCTTTTAATTCTCGTTGATTACATTTTGTAAACATTTTCCCTCTATATGAGTTACACTATTTCTTTCTCTCATACTTTTTTTGGCACAATAATTCTCTTCATGAGGTTTTCTCTCATCCACAGCCTTGCTCACCTCATTATTCAAAAAGGAGTCTTTACTTTCTGTTAATGCACACCATAAAATACTTTTCCTGTGCTCTAGGAAGCTTACATGTTTTCCTTTCTCACATCTGCTTTCCATTCATTTGTATACTTTCACTTCTTACACACATTTGATTTCCCTCTCATGTTTTTCACTTCTTTTTTTCCATGTCCAATTTCCCATAAATCCATTCTTAAGATTTGTCTGCTTCATATTCAGGCCACCTCATTATCCATTTATTTTTCA